TATTATAAAATTATATTAAACTTTTCTACATCTAATGATTTATTTCTGTGTTGAAAATATTTGTTTTAAATATTGTGTATATTTTACATTAAATATTATTTTATAAATATTATGTATATTTTGCATATTTAATTATATACTAACCAAATCAAATATATCTGGACGAGATTGATTACCAATGTCCAAAAGACCTTCAAGACCTTCGTTTACTATCAGCGCCATTCTTGCACCTTTTCTTTCTAACAGTGCATTAGTAGCTACTGTCGTTCCCATTCTAATCCATCCTATTCTAGAAGTGTCCAATTTCTCTTCCATTTTAACATTAGACTCCTAAAATTAATATACAGAAAAAGATACTGTTATTTTGTAATTCTTCTTCCATTATGTAAGTATATAACATCGCAGCTATTTCATTTAAAAAAAAAAACCCATTTTTTACTAATTTCATGTACTTCAACAGCATATTTTTAATTTGTTTTTACAGATTATATTGCTTTAACGAATTTTGAAATAGAAATTGCACAATTATTTTAAAAAATTTTTAATCACTGTAAACATATGTATATATTTTACCTGTTGCAATATTCTGCGTATTCCCTCGGCCGGTGCGTCTGAGTAACGTTTATCTTCCGAAAGCAATTTCAGAATTTCGATTTTGCCGCCAGGACACCTGGCAAATACATCGGTAAACGTACCTCCGCGATCTATAGCGAAGTAGAATTTGTCGTTGTCCATTATGTTTGCTGATAAATTGTGTTACTGAAATTATACAAAAAGAGAAAGAGACGAGATATATCAACAACAAATTAAACAAATAAACAAACATATATCAATATACAAAAATATATTGATAGAATTAGTTAATTTTATTTAATATATTGATGTGGGCAGAGATATTGTGAAACGTGTGATATTTTTTCCGACTTTTTTGAGTAAACTCACGAGATTTAATTGTATTTTCGCAAATATAATTTAATCGTCTTGCAACTTTTATTCATTTTGAAAAGTGTAAATAAAACGAAACTACATCAATCTTTTTTTCCTGCTTATATCATAGGTAAATTTCCACTAATAAATCAAACAGAGTTATTTGATAAGAGACTACTTTATGTCTCACAAAAAGATACTCAGAATAAAAAAATACTCTTATCTGATAAAACATTTTAGAATTCTTCACATTGTATAAATTTCTAAAATTATTTTATATTTGGTTTTATAGTATATAATTTACATATATATATATGTAAATTATATATATATATATGTATGTATGTATGTACATCATATATTATAAAAACAAATATAAAATAATTTATACACACACACCCACACACAAAGTATTTGATAATAATTGTATCACCTCTCGTAGATAAGTAGAACTAGATACTGAATCGAAAAGTCCTAACGTCTTAGTAATTTCAATAAGTCTTAAAATAGTAGCTCTAATAACACCGATTTCGTATAGTGACTGTCCACCAGCCAGTGAGTGACTGGTAACTGAAAGCCCGACGAATACTCTCAATTCTAACTCAACAAGAATATAAGGGTTCTCAATCAAAAATAGTTAAAATTATTACATTACATAATTTATAACTGTTCTGTTTTATTTCAAGGTCGATATTTACAAAGCTAATAAAAACCACTTTGAAACTCAAACTTAAACATTGGATTTTTGAATTTTAACTCTTTGTACAAATTATTTTCTATATAAAGCAGTTCGTACTTTTTAACAGAGACATTTTAATTAAAAACATATGACATTGTTGAAATAATGAATAAACAATTGTAACGGTAACAATATATTTTACTCATATATTAGTATTGTAGTATAAAACTTGCAAATATTTTATATGCATATAATTTTTTATATTTGTTTTGATCTTTTTGATAAACAAAATTTACTAGTAAAAAAATACATAAAACTTTTTGGAATTATTTATTATCTTATTATTTTAGTTTACTTGCACACAATACAATCATCAATTAAATTTATTAGTCCTAAAAAAGGTTATATTAAATTGTTAATAAAATGAGAATCACTGAAGATACAATAAGTTGCGCGTGCGTACAAATCCAATTGCGCGCGATACATATACACACCAGGCGGTCGAAAGATAAAGTAACTTGGTAAGAAATATACAAAGTTTGATATTGGTTATATTTTAGTCTTTACAGTTTATTATTTTTTATATTAGCAGCTTACTATAACAAAGATATAAAATATCAATACTTAGATTTCGTTAGATTTACAATTTTGTTATATAAATAGTTTATTTAGTGTAAACTAAAAAATTATCAATTATGATTATCTAAGGTTTTTCACTTTTTTAAAAAGTAAGAACTATTATAATTCTATAATATAATATTATTGTATTTATAATATAATTGATATTTTTCTTTACACAAGGTTTAGTTTTATTTATTTTTTTCGTATTCTTATCTGAAATAAAATTACACTTGTATTCGTCCCTCTATGATATCTTTATAATATTCATCAGTTAGTTTAACATAGGCATCCTTCTTTAAGAAATAAATCGGGTCTTTAACCTGAAAGAATTATTAAAATCAAATTTATTCTTTTACTTATAAAAAAAAAACAAAAACTAAAAGATATAACTAATATCAAAACAACTCAGAAAAACTAATTAACACTCTTAAACACGCATAACAAAACTTGCCTTCGTAATATCAAAACCACTTTGTTGAAGATCCTTTTTTTTCAGTTTAAACGTTCCTGTTCACATAAACATGATAAACAATTAACACCAGTATATCAAATTGAGTTTAATCTATGTGCGCGTGTGTCGATAAATAGAAAAAATTCAAACTGTTACCGGTCATTGGTAAATCCGACAAAATACGAAGAAATCGAGGTCTGGCGTAAGTTGGTAGAGTTTGCTTCAATTTTTCTTGCAAATGTTTCAAGTCCAAAGAATTTTCTGGATCATATATTGCCGCCATTCCCGCTTTACCCTCGTTTTCAGGTACCTGGAAAATCACAAATTATGCACAATATTAAAATTTTCATCTCTTTCATTGACATTTCAATAACATTAACAAAGAGAGATCCAGAGATAGTATGCAGAAATTTTGTAAAGAGTTTTAAAATTAATTGCTATTTTAGCGCTACGGCATATATTGTATATTTAATATATAATTGCCATTTACCTCGACACCATACACAGTTGCGTCTCTGAGACCTGTCACATTACTCACGACAGCTTCCACTTCTGTAGTAGAAACATTTTCGCCTCGCCATCTGCAATTATAGCAATATAATATTTTTATTCTAAGTATCGATACAAATTTATCAAAAAAACCAAATATTTTTACATAATTCAAAAATAAATAACTAAATTCTAGATATTGTTTTACGTGCCTGAACGTATCACCGATTCTGTCCTTAAAGTAAAAGTATCCGAGTTCGTCCATAATTAAAATATCACCTGTTCAAGAAACTCAGTTATTAAATCGTACTATAAAAAGATAAATTTTAATAAGGCAAATAAAAATTAATAAATACGGCTCGAAGAAAAATTAAATCAACGTAAAAACCAATGAGCCTAAGATCCTGGGTGAAAGTGAACGTGAAATTAAATAACAGCCAATGTAATTAAGTCGACCTTTCGATCATTTGGACGAATGTAATTAAGTGGACGTTTCGATCATTTGGAAACGTCCACTTAATTACATTGGCTGTTATTTAATTTCACGTTCACCTTCACCCAGGATCTTAGGCTCATTGGTTTTTACGTTGATTTAATAAAGGCATACAAATATTGTTTTTTTATTACCAACCAGAATTAAAAACGCTATCTCCTTTTACGAAAACATCGCATATAATTTTTTTCTGCGTGGCTTTTTTGTCCGCATAGCCGCTAAAGTCGTTGATCGCTTTCTTCGGATTGATCTTGCCCACAAATATACCAGCTTCGTCTACATAAATAATACAAAAATAATAGAAGCGCGAATTTTTGTAAATCTCGAACTTTTTTCTGTCAAAATAATGCAAACAAAAAACAGTTTTTTTTTTAATACATATTAGAAGAGTGTTATAACGTTTTCTTTTTTTCATACAAGTTTTCAATGGTATACATACTAGGTTTACATTGTATGCATAGTCCATCTGGTCCTCTCAGCGGTTCTCCAGTATCTTCATCAACTTTCAACAGTGCAACCGGATACAAACGGCTGGAAGCAAATCTCGGAAGAAAACCAACAGCGCCAACTTTATTGTCAATATTAACTGCAAGTCATAAAATATATATTTGTAAAATAATATCAAGATATGGTATTGTGAAAAATGTGCCTGTGTAAGACTCTTATAAACCTTATGTCTTTAATTTTTAAATAAATGTTTGTTATATTAAAAAACCCTTAACGAGTTGAGAAAATAAGATAAAGATAGAATTAAAATATTAAATATATGCATTACGTCAAATTTTTCTGAAATTAATCTTTTTGGTGCCATAAACATGAGAGCAAATTACCAAGGTTTGAATTTCCTTCGGTAGCTCCGTAAAACTCGCCTATTTGCTTTACACCAAATCTTTTAACAAAAGATTCCCAAATTTGCGGCCTCATGCCGTTTCCGAACATTAAGCGCACTTTATGTGACCTATCGTTCTGACTTGGCGGAACGGTGAGAAGAAACCGACATATCTCACCGATATATTGTGCTGCCTAAAATAAAGATATTACTCTTTTATTTACAACTGCAATTATCAAGATAAATGGAAACAAAAAAATTGTTAAGAAACATATCTGCATTCTATAATTCGAGCATTATCATCGACATATATATTGTAACATATAACATGAAAATAAAAACTTTATTGTAAAGTTATACACATAACATCTCTAACTTTTTATGTAACTATCAATAAAAAAAATTAATTCAGCCAATAAAACCTAAGGTTTCGATGTACGTGCAAAATATCTAAACTATAATTCGACTTAAATTTAATTCAATAATTTATTTATTGAATTCTTGAATTATATATAAAGTATCTCTATTTTAACTAACTGAAATGGAAAGGCACACGATTTTTTATGGCATGCAATAAATCCAGATCTGACTTCTGGTCAAGGTTTTCTTGCAAGAGTTTTATTAACATATAAATGTGAAAAATCCGGTTTGACACGTGGTGTTTAAATTAAAATCATAAGAGAAGTAAAAAGAACCATATGATAATTCTATACAATACAAACCAAGCATCCAATAAAGATTTTTGTGAATTACATTTAATTTAAATTATAATTTGAATATTTTGTACATACCCGGTAAAAAATTTTTCATATATACTTATACATAAATTAGAATTATTATATCTAATTATACAAATTTTTTATGCCAAATATGTCCATACAATTTTATACATGAAAAATTTTTTACCGGGTACTTACTGGCCGTATTATTTTTTTTTTTTTATTGATAGTTAAATATACTAAGAGAGTCATGTACAATTAGTACAATTTATATGTTTATTTATAATTTGATGTATATAATTTATTCCAAAAACGTAAACTAAATACAATTCAAAATAGTTTAAAAGGTTTTCTTACTATCTTTCAATTTCTACAATAAAATGTTCAAATGTTATATAGATAAGAAAATTGAGTAATCTTACAGTGCATTTGTAATGGATGCAATCTGACCAATATTTGGATGCACTGAATTTTCTACGAATCACAACTGTGATGCCTCGTAAAAGTGCCTGACCTGCTCCAAGTATGCCGCCTGCGGTGTGATAAAGAGGCAGTGGATCATAAATTCGATCGTCAGAGCGTAGATTAAGCATCGATTTTGTGCCACATGCCATAAACATATACCTAAAAGTGTAAATTGAAATTTACCGTGATTTAAAAAAAAAATCTGATTTTGTATTTTTAATAATTTATAAAAGGAAATATATATATATATATATATTTCTCTTATAAATTGATTTAAAAAAATTGATACTAAAGTATTTTTTTTTCATATATATACGTATATGTACATACATATGTGTATATATATCCGTTGCATTTCCGATAAATTCGTACACTGCAATGTTGTGTTAATAATTTTGCTCACCTCAAGTTATTGATAACGGCGGCCTTTGGCATTCCCGTCGTGCCAGACGTATAGATATAAATTAGTTTGTCCCGCGGACTTGAATGTTCAAGCTGGACGATAAGAGGGTCGGGTTTAATGCTGCTGATTTCCGTGTTGAGATCGATTGCCCCATCCAGAATCGACGTGTCCGCTGACTCCGACCATTGGTAAAGCTCGATGTTGGGTATTTTACTCTTGATGTCGCGAATCGCTGCACACAACATGCCTCGATAATGTTTGTAATGTACACGAATATTGGTTTTTACGCAATACAGAAAGTTTTCTTCCCTGAACCGGTTGCACTAGTCGACAATCTATCTTTTTCTATCTAATATGGATAAAAAAAAGATAGACTGTGAACTAGCGCAGCCAATTTAAGGGAAAAAAAACAAGAGTTACGCATTCAAAGAATGCGTTTGCCAAAGTAAAACTCAATAATCATGAATAGTCACGATAGAGGTAAAAGTGCTAATATTGACACTAGTTTTGTAATATAAGAGATGTGTGTGAAACTTTGCCAATGTTGACAAAATTATTAGTTACGCATTTATGTTTTATACAATATTTATAAAAACTTTAAAAATCGTCGATAAAAATTTTAGTCAAAAGTAGTAAAAAGATGATTTTCGCTTTGAGCAAAACTGCAATCGTTTTACTTCCGCGTGTGTATTTTGCATATAAAAATATTTAATGTATATGTCATATTTAATGTAATCTTGTTACGTAACATTACATGAGCTAATAGAAAATATTCTTGCAATGTTTTTTTATTTATGTAAGTAAATGTAAGTAAATGTAAGTAAATAACGAGAATCATGTTTCTGTTTATTTTATCGGAAATATAATATATTTCCGATCTTTTAAGATATAAAAAGCGCAAATCGAAATCTTACCGTCTTTCAGTTCGGACCCAAAGATAATGGCCTTGCAGCCAGCACTAGTGATGCTGTGCAAGAGCACATCGTGTCGAAGATTTGTGTTCACTAAAGCTCCGACAAAACCCGCTTTGCTTAGACCCAACCAAATACCGACGTATTCAGGACAGTTTTCCATAAGAACGGCCATACTGTCAAAATGGGAATACGGTCTAGTGCGCAGATATCGTCCTATGCGATTGCTAAAGTGTTCCAACTATATTTTTCAGACGTAACAAATTATTATAAGCAAAAATATTTATTTCTTCAAAAATATATTGTAATATATAGTTGGTAATTTTTTTTTAGAATTTTGCAAATAACATAAATAGGAACAATACAAACATGAGATTTAAAAAAATTCTTTGCGCGCGCAAGACGATTTTTCAAGCAATTTAATTGATGATATTTTACAAAAGCTACAACTAGTTCACAAGAGATTTGCATGTAAATGTAATCGTTATCGCCGTTTAAGTAATAAAGTCTAATACTCCCGCCATTGACAATCATCAACGCAAGTGTTAAAAGCGCAACGTACCGCAAATGTACGAATGCAAATCATCTATGCGTTTGATTATTATTACCTGTTCATATGTCCACTCTTTATCTTCAAAAATATAAGCAATTTTCTGCGGATGAGCCATTGCATATTTCGAGAAAACCTTTGCAACTGTATATTCTTTCTTCTCCCACCACCAAAGAAGAAAGCTCACTTGTAGAAATCGAAAACCACCCCTAAAAACAAAATTTAAAAACATTTTATTTAGTGTATCTTAATTTATTTTACAATAAAAAATATTTTATTAATACAAAAGTAGAACATTGAATTTTTTTTACAATTATATTTAAACTCAAAAGTTTAAATGTAATTTGCAAACAAAGAAATACTATACATTATTGCGGATAACAAGATGTATATAACAATATATAACAAGATGTCTATATAATAATATATAGACTTTTTCGAATAACAATATAAAACATCTTTAAAAGCAAACTGTAACATTAGACGATTTCTAAATTGATAATACATCCTTTGTTAAGCACCCTCACGTAATGCTCTTTCTCTTGCAATTGGTTAATGCAACAAGACACGCGCGTGATGTATGTCACGCGAACACACACTATTCTACTCTCTGTCATTAGTTACCTAAACCGCCTATGAAATGTGAGAGATATAATTTTTTTGTCGTGCTTTTTACGAAACGGAACTCTATCTTTTTTAGTTTGATGTAATTCCGTGTGATTAACTTCTTGGTTTATTTATAAGTTTTTTTAACATTATAAAGAAACAGAAATTTAAAACTAAGAATTATAGATACGCGAGAAAAAATGAAAGATCATGTGATCACACATATAGGATTATATGTGAATCGGATGTAATTTTGTATGATCGTATAAACTTTTATATAAGTCGAACATGATTTTATATAAGTTGGATATAATTTTATGTAATCGTGTGAAATCAGATTCGAAATTTGGCGCGACCTGATTTTATATGATCATAAATACATAAAATTATGTACAACAGTATATGATTTCTTATATTTATATATGATCATATAAAATTAGATCGCGCCAAATTTCGAATCTGATTTTACACGATCATATAAAATCATATCCAACTTATATAAAATCATATTCGACTTATATAAAAGTTTATACGATTATACAAAATTACATCCGATCCGCATATAATTAAATTCTATATGATCACATAATTTTCCATTTATGTTTCGGGTACCTCTAATTTAAAAAAATACATTCTCTCTTTTAAATATTGCATTTTATATTTTGGTATTTTAGATAAAGTACATTGCGCGCTTAATGAGATAAGTTTTGTGGAAATTTCTACAACAGGTGTTTCATTTTAATGAAAACAGTAAAAAATCTTAAAAGTGTAACAAAACAATAATTCAATTCATGTTTAGATGATGTTCAAAATTTTCTATGTTTACTGGAATACACACTCGAACTTTTCAATGAATTTTCTGTAACAGAACATCATCTCGGAAAATATTGCGTATTACATGCACGTGCGCACATACACAGATTTAATACATATACACACCAAACCGTTATTTCTCACGTCTTCGTCCATGACCTTGAATTCGACTGAAAGGAAACCAACATATACGCACTTATATCATGATTTGTGTTTTAAATATCTCTGAAACCATTAGTTATTCATCACATTCTAATATTTAGTACTTTTCTACGTAAAATTAAGTGATCTATCGAATTCTGTTATAAAAAAATAAAAATTTTTATTAAATTTATTTTAAAATTATTAGTTTATTAAATGACTTTAAATTGTTAACGCACGACTTAAGATCAACAATTTGTGTCATTCTGCAATTTGTTTTCGTGAATTGCTTCGTTTTCTCAAAATATTTTACTGTTTATGTATAGTAAGATTTTGTATTTATACATTTTGTACATGTATATATTAACTTTTAGATAAAAGTTTTAATACAAAAATAGCAAAGTTATAATAGTTTTTTGTTTGTTACAATTAAATATTAATTATGGTGTCGACATTGAAGGGCGCTCAAGTACGACGAAGCAGCAGGTAGTTGCTGCTAATTTTATAACAGGTTTGTACGTGTAAAAAGAGATACAAAAAGAGACTGCAACAAGTAGTTTTGCATTCCAAGTAATTAATGCAAATGATTAATCTGTAATACATAAGTCATAAAAATTTCCTGAAAAAATATGATAATTTTATGCTTACTGCGTAATAACGGAATTTCTAATAAAAACTTGTCATTTTTATAACTAGTATAACAAAGTTATACTGTAAACATTCCTTTTTTCTCTTTCTTTTTTTTATACATTTAATCGAAAAAAATGTAGCGCGCGTGTGGAAAACTTTTCAGAGAAAATATAAAATGCGATTGATAAGTATCCGAAGAGCATACATACAGACAGTCGGGATCACGTTGTTATCGTCAACAAGATTTATTATTCAGAAGAACAAAATTTTATCACTCGCTGAGTTATCATTGCACATGTTTACATGACATCTTGCCAGAGTCGACGCTCCTTGTAATTTTTGACAATGCACCAGCTCACTATTTCTATTGTTGCAATAATCAAAATTTACAAGTTAAGCTCCGAATTGTGTCTCTCATCCGCTTTATTCGCCAGATGTGTCTCTCCAGTATAAAAATATGGTTCGGTGAAAAAAAAAGTGTTCGCGCAATATTGATAAAACATAAATATGACTATGACGACATGCAAGCACCACGTGCGATAATGAGCTAGAGTTTGACATTTGTTCTTCTGAAAAGAACTTGTCAACGAAAACAGCAATGTGACTTTATCTATCCTATTCGTCATATTTCGCATATATATCAAGTACTGAACATTATCAATTGTTCCAAAGTACAATGCAAATACGACGTAGATTTTCAAAATGTATTACTTCGAATGGTCTATTTCACTAGAGAAGCTATTTACAGCAGCGGATGGTGATTGTGTTGCGCAAAAAGAAAAATGCACTTGTTAATGGTAAGTGACACATCTGCTAATTGGAGCATCATGTTACTCCCTTCTCCATCTCTGTACGTTTGTGTGTTCGCCGCGTATGTTCATTCAATATACTCACAGAAGATCTCTCGGCAACGTTTTATACAGCACGTAAATAAGACGCCAGCGACTTCCGGTGAGCAGAAATCCACCGAGCAGCAAACTCAGTACGGTGATAACAAGCTGTTGCGTATCCATCATTGTGATTTCCGTTCGTGCTCTCTCTTCGTTCTGCAAATTTCAGAACGGTAAATTTATTCAGGACGTTTGAAATGGCGCGAGCCGAACTCCAAGTCGGTCGCGTTTAACTTTTTAACACCGATCACGAAAACAACGTGAGCTTATCGTTAAGCTGGAGAACTGATATACCCGGATGCCGTTTTGCAAATGAAACCGCGGCAGAACGTAGCGACATATATCGCGCTATCACCGTCTCCCCACGTTTAGGACGGGGACAGACATTAACCGGCACAACGTGAACAGACATTAGAAGTCACTAGCTGGCTTAAGAGACTACTCCGAAGCGGTGGGGTTGATGAAAGTTGATAGCTGATGCATGTGAAAACCTCGACACATGCGCATAACCGATATCTCCATAAGGCGGGAATGTACCGAAAGTACAAAGAACATGTAGACTGGACTATGTGTGTACTTGATCTTTGAATCATGCATATTAAGTTTTTGATAAGCAATACATCTTTGATAAACAATAACTTGCAAATCAGTGCGCGTACATGTGTTTGCGATTAATATCAATCGACGACGCAAATATATATATATCTTTTAATAAGTGCCCGTCAAAAAATATCTTGATAAAAAGATGTGATAACAATAATTAAAAACCTATAAAGAAACTAAATGTGTGTGTGAGAGAAAGTGGAGTGTGTTTAAGACACTGTTATCGGTCTGCAAACTGGTAATATTATATATAAGAAAAAAGAGATAAATAAGAAAAATATATGTCGATATGTCGTAAAAACCGCTACATATTATTAGCGTAGATATCGATATCGAACGAATTGATTACTTTAAACAGACTCAGATTCTCTCGCACGTTCGTAGCACAATTTGTAGGTCACTATATAAACTCTTGTCACGTACAACATTGTTCCATACGTGATCACTTTCTGCTTCGAAATTGCAAACTTTTGATGAGTTGAATTAGTCAATAAAATATATTCTATATCTAATTTTTTTATAAGATAACTAAAAAATATCATATATATTTTATATATATATATAAACTTAATTATTAAGTTTCTTTAGAAAGTATTTAAGTGTCCGATCTATATTGAGTTATACGTCAAAAAAGAGAATTTATACAAACTTTGTTATGAATATTTTATAAACAAAAATAAATTGTTAATAAATATTTATACGTATCGTTGCTGATATTTAAATCATGAATTTTTCATTTTGTAATAATCAAATATGACTTTCTAAAACAGAAATATAAAATTTATAAATAAAGTACGATTTAATCATTTATACAATGAGTATTATGTTATATTGCGTATATGTAGGAATAAAAAAATTTCATACATCATCACGTTTTATATATCTATTGTACGTTGCTGCCAATTGCTGCAACCGTTTTTATGTTTTCAATGTCTTGTTTTCAATAGATGTTGCTACTAGAAGAAATGATTTTTGTATAGCACAAGAGAATACTTATTATTAAGAAATTCTATATTTTTATAATAATTTAAATTATGTTATATAAAAAAAGCCGAGAAATAATAGGAATAGATGTTTTACAAAAGATTAAATTTCAATCTTGTGATTAAACTTAGAAGCATTGGTAAATAACCTATAAACATTAAATTCATACAATAGATATCATATCTTTCTCTAGATCTTAAGTATTTACCTGCAATATGTGATAATGTGCACAGTATAGAAAAGGCAATTTATCTTGAGAATACTTAGATTTATACTTGTTAGCGATAACTTATTGATAATTAGAAAACAACTTTGTAGAATAAATTTGTGAAAAGACGCATGAATTATGCGGATTATAAAAAATGTATTTTTCGAGAAAATAATATCATTGAATATAGTGTGTATAGTGTGTACATAGTGTATAGTGCGTACATAGTGTATAGTGTGTTTCACAGTTTATTGTATTTTTCGAGATTATTAAGCAAAAAAGTGATTGTGCAAAATTAACATACAATACCAGAAAATTAACATACTAAAAAACTCTGTTAATAAATGTTTTACAGTTCATTGTATTCTTCGAGATTATCAGCGAAGAAGAAGTGATTGTGTAAAATTAACATACAATATCAGAAAATTAACATACTAAACAAAAATCTGTTAATAAATGTTAATAATTCAATACGGCTGTGCAGCCAGGAACCAGAACCATGATCTTAGTTAATTGCTCGTGTGAGATAAAAATAAGTGCAGCTTTTTAGCAGATTGCGCAGTTGTATATAAAAATAAAATAACAGTTTTTTACACGAAAATATAACAGAAGATATATTTATAACTTACAGAGGTTTATGTATAGCTATATAATGTACATATGTGTGGTTCGGAAGATATCAATATACAAAAGAGAAGATACTTCGGCGATTCCTCAGTCGGATGTTATGTATTCCTCATTGTCAGTCGGAGATTTATGTATACTTCACGACAATGGATACTGTAAAAAATCACGAAAACAATAAATTTAAAGTTTAAAGTTTTACGTATTAGTTTATTGACAATGATAATGCAATGAGAACGTGAAAAACTGAATGCAATCAACAAAATCTTCATTAATATCTGAATAAGACTTGTGCTAATCTCGCGTTTAAAATATATTTCATAACTTTTTCTTTCCGATCTCGCGTTGATTGTGGTACTCTTAAACGTAGTTATTTATGCAAAATTTGAAATGCGGAAAATTATATACCTTATGTTTTAAACAATCGTAGTTAGAGACATTGTGCTCGCTATCTGAGAACCAGGTAAAGCACCATGATGTCCAGAACTGAAAACGACACGCGCTAATCTGACTAAATAATATTGTAAAATATTCCTTAACATTGACGCGACGTTCAATTTACTATTGGTTTACTTCGACATTTCGAACATTATTATTTTGCAAATTACACGAAGTGAACAAAATGCATTATTCAAATACCGATGTTATGCAAATAGTATATCGAATTAGGATGTAATATAATTAAAGAGAAATTTGCGTATTAAGAAATTAATTTATCATAAATAATGCGTCACGAAACCTAATTATTTTTAACTCACAAGTAGATTTTCATTTGCCGATTTTTGTGTGCGTAAGTTAAAAAATATTATTTTCTTTTTATAAGTATTATTAATGTGGCACATTATGTTCTCGCTACTAGACGTTATAAAAAAATATTTATGACAGTACTTGTAAATTGTGTCATAAAATCATTCAAAAATCCATTAGACAAAAACGAGAAAAGACAAACGTAAGATTTTTTATAAAAAAGAAAATTCATGTGCGTGTGATATTATTTAAAAATAATATTATATATTCCATATATGCTGTTACTTCCTACCAACGATAAAAAGCACGATTATCACAGTAACGCTGATAATGATCATCCTTGATTTGATGTTTTGCATCCATGCTTTGCGTTGCGCTTTTTTTGCAGCTTCCCTGAATTCGTTTCCTGCCATGTTTAGACGATCGCTCGCTTCTTGCAAATCCTCTAACTTCTCACCACGATCCATCACCTTTTGAACATTGTCCCGCATCACGTCGGTCACCTCTTGGATCTGTATCCTGACGCTGCGAATACACACAAATAATAATAATAATACACACAAATAATACTAACTCAAACCTTACAAGACGGAAAAAGAAAACTTTCTAAATATGAACATAATTTCTTTTTTTTCAATTATATTCAAAAATTATATATTATATATAGTTTTAACAATTATATTTAATATAATTCAGGTTTTACTTTAGGTTTCAATTTAACTTGAGTTCAATAAATATATTTTTATGATCTTACTTGTCCATTTTTCTATTAACGTTTGCATCTTCACTTGACGTGCTCGGTCGACTGCAAATGTGTATCGTATATCAGTACATCCAAATAAACTGAAGAAACTTCCGTAAAAATATTCCGCAAGAGTCAACATTGTCAAATATAACATTTTTAAAATAAAAGTAACTTTTACATTTAAAATATAAAAAGTATATATAAGCTTATGTAACATATTAGTATTTTAGCAGTATTAAGCATAATACTTCCTTTTTTCTATATATGCTTTTTATATTTAAAGTAAAAGTAATATTTTATATAAGCAGCGCTTATGTAAAATATTACAGCGTTGTGTAGCTAGTTACATTTTAGTAAAATAATTTTGTTTTGGCAAACAAATATTTTTGTTACTTTCTATGAGGATTTCCTTAAAACTTGGCACTTGCGACATTTTTACAAGAATTTTCTTCAATTGCGAATCCTCCAGCTTACGTGAATAACATTTCCTCATCGAGATCGCTGTCATGCTCCAATAGCGACTCCTGCGAAACACAGTTCGAACACGTGTCAAGTTTCCCGCCAATTGTGACGTAAGTTTTAGAGCGTTGCTTGTTTTTCACATGTCTTCGATATGGATGAACGAGAAGTATACTCACTTTTTCATCTTTATCCGCGGTTTTGAGGTCCTCTCTGGACAAGCTGCGTTTACCAGATGACAACATATCCTTAGGAAAATGAATCCACGCGTTATAGGCGTGATACGAATGATTGATTTGCGTGAACTTGAATAATTTTCCTTCAGCAGGTCAAACTTTTACTATCAATGTTCGGCCATTTTAACAGACGCCATCCTGTTTTATCGGCTTCGTGGCACTTCAAAGGCTGCGGTCCGTTTCATGTTCAATCGCGCATTTATCTGTAGTATATGTCACGTATACTATAGATAAATGTGTGCTTAAGCATAAAACGGACCGCAGCCAAAGTCAAGACAGTAAGAGACAGAACCACATGGATCAATATAGCAGAGGGCAGTATCGTATTAGCTGCTACTCTTTTATAAATTTTTGTGTACTTATATATATGCTACAGAAAAATGTTTTGACATATATTATTTTGAAAGGCGCGATTTTTTTTCTATTTATTACAATTCATTTCTCGTGCAATTTTATAATTCTTAATCGAGTATAAAAAATTAAATTAAAATTAAAAATATTTAATTTACTTTTCTTTTTTCAACATGTGAAAGAGAATAACGATAATACATAGATATGCAAATGTGCACGTTATTTATATAAAAGAGCTTATATCAGTTTTCATTCAATTATAGTTTAAAAAAACAGCACTATTGTCGCATATTGCTTTTATTTTGACATAAACATTTAGATTTAATTACACATACATTGTACAGCGCAAACGATAAAAATACATAACTTGATTGTCCTATGAACGCACAGGAGAGATTACAAAAGATATTATGCAATTAATATTTTATACATAATATTAAAATTAAAAAAATGGAAAACGTATTTTTATAAAATCTCGTGCAATTTTGTGTGCTTTTTATTATAATTCACAAACATTTGTTGTAAAAAACGTGGTTATTCTTTTTATAGAATACATTTATTTATGAAATGAACAAGATCTTCTGAATTAAAAAATTTTGATATTTCTCGAAACTTTAATTTATTTTTAGTCTAAAAGTACAACGCCGTAACAATTGATAGATTACTTTCGAGAGACAAAATAAATTCTTTTTGATAAACTTAAAAATATATCAAAATTTCGCGTGCACCCATGTTTCGAAAAATAGAAATACTTTTAACAAAAATATATACTTATAGAGTATAAACACTCGGCACCCACAGAATAGATTATGACAAAGATACGAGCATAGTATATGTATTAGCATATTTTTATACGTACTTATAAAAATAGACCAGGCTTTTTTAGGAATATTTTTAATGTGTCGAGGTATGTTTGTAAAGTTTCGTAAAGTGACGAATACGGTACGTTCTTCAATATTATCGACTCGCAATTGATCCAATATTTACGCAAGGCTCTCTTCGAAAGAGCGAGCGGGTGGTATATTTTGCAAAAGATAGTGCACAATGTTGATTGTGCACTGTTTCAAATTCAATCGGAAATTGAAAACCGACCTTCGCTTTTATATGTCAGCATATAAATCTCGAGCCGAGTCTCCCTCTCAGTATACACATGTGTATAGTATCATATTCACGTACTATATGTGCTATACAGTCAGTTTTCCATATACATTATTAATCCGCCCTCGATAGCTACACAACGCGTCAAACATCCAAATTTATATATAAAACTGTTTATTACACTCACACACTAAACACATTCGCAACTTATTGAAAATACATTAAATACTTTTTTTATTCAGCTAATTGATTCAGTTTTTTGCTAAACTGAAAAAAAAGAGTGTATTTACATATTTTTATATAATTCAGAGCAATATGTTGCGTAACGAAAATTAAATAATATAAAACAATAATAATATATTTCGTTTTACGCGGTTTTTAAGAACATGTTCACGCAAATAATCAATAACTATTAATTTCTTGTGTAGAGGCACTCGTACAAACGCTGTTCGATTGGCACACGCGATCCTGGGACCACAGTAATTCACGAAAACGACACATACGCGACGAACAAACAGAACATCTAAACCCAGAGCTGAAGCCACATATGTATCTCCATTTTGTCACAACGTAGCAACGTAATGTAACTAGTTCACATGCGTCGGACTTTAATTACTTCCGAACATGTTTCATAAAGCTTGATAGGAGTAGCTTGATAGTAGTCGTGCGGACCGATATGTGTAGGTAACATCGTTTTGCAGTGACTCGTCGATATGCATCGCTGTAAACGCAGTTGTAACTACAATTATTCTTATCTCGAAATAATATTTACGCTGATAATCACGACGTCTATAGATACATATACGTATATATTTCGGTACATGGTCTCATCTCAGAGACTTATCGGACTTTCCGACGACAGATATGACGACGTTTAATACGACTTTAGGCCGTGTCTACTTATCTTCCGTCAAGCGAATAATATTGAAACCAATTTGTCGAAGCTCGCGTGTCTCGAAGAAAAGAAAATGAGAGAGTCGCTACGATATATCGAGCAAGCTTCGACAGCGAAGAGTTTTAAAAGTCATATTATTGCACCCATACACATACAAAGAAAATTCAATAAATGAGTATCGCAATTCTTAATTATGTTATTTAGAAAATCATTTTACACGCGCGCGAATGCAATCTCTTCTTGTAACACCACTACGTTAAAATTTATATCTGTGTTAAGTTTGCATATATGTTCAAATTATAATTAGATACTTGTAAAAAAAACACACTTATAGATAGACTTGATAGAAAACACAATCTTGTAAAAGCCGTAATTAAAAAGAAAATAATAATTTTTATCAAAACCTTTATCAATATATGTATAATTGTTGTATTATCAATAAATTATTACACGATTACACTATCCTTAAGTGCACCGACTATTATCTAAGTTTAATACAATAACGTAGCAATTAGAATGTGTTGCGCGAACAATATTATAACTTTAGTCAACTAACTTCTCGATGTTCTCGCGGTTTAGGACGCAGCTGTGATAATGTTTGTGTACATACCTACATAGATAAAGGATGAAAATTTAAGAGATATAGTGCAGCGAAAGTGTTAAGCGTAGCTTTTATCATTGTTTCAGTAAACATGCCGCCAGCAACTAATGAACTAGTTTTTCACGTGAAACAGATATGTATAATAATGCAGACTAACAAAGTACGTATTGTTAATTTACATTTTATAAAGACGACCAGCATCGGACGAATCCTGCGTCCAGAAAAATAATTAATATATATAGCGTGTGTGACTTGTGTGTGATCGAACGTATAATATATGCAATCGCACAATGTTACCATTGACAACAAGATATAGTTTTAATTCTATTTTTCGTCTTTAATTATATTATCTACATATATATAATCTCTTTCAATTACGATACAATTATATATTATCGATACACGATAAACGACAATATTTTTTCCGTATCTAGAAATTACTTTATTACACGTTAGATGATAATACACAGTTTGTTTTATAAAACTTCAATTTGATCATTTAACTTGACATCAAAATATCTGCTGAGTGGAAATATCAACGGCTCGAACAAACTTTCTCTGCTGATTCGTTACAAGCGAATTTTCTTACTATTTAGATCGCTTAAACTTGTTACGCTTATTTTCTATTGCAAAATAAAATCAAAATAACAAATAAATCTAAAATTTTTACCCACTCTAATTGCTAATTGATATAAATTTTTTTCTAAATCAAAACAATGATAATTTGATCAAAACAATAAAACGTCTCTTAAAAAGTCGAGTTATTTTATAAAAAATAATTGACACTACTGCAAGATTTATCTCGTCAATGAGAATGTTATTGTAATCACAATAAATACAACCTGCAGTTTGAGATCGCGCGACTGTGTGCGAGTAGTAGCAAGTAATTGATCTTTTTTTTTTTTCACAAAATAAGTCTGAAGCATTGACATTTCTTTTAATCAAATCTCTCTCTTGTTTCGTCGATGAGACTAATTTTTGCAAATTATTGAGAAATACGCGCGTTGTTCAACGTCGATTTTATTCACGAAACACATAATTATCGAGGAACCGCAAAGTGGGATACTTAATTAGATTTCAGCGAAATAACGCGTGGGACCCGTTATGAGTCGCGCACGTGCGACTCATTAGTCTCTAATAAATAATCAAATCGCTGCATTGCAGACTGACGGGCAAGCCAGATATACTCGCGCTGCCATTCGTCTCACACTCGAGCGGAACAGATCCTACTTAAGATCGTTAATCTTAAAATCTAATTTCAACCTTGCAAGCACAAACACACACACACACACGCACGCGCACACATATATGCATATACACGGTTTTGTTCACTGTAATCACGACAGAGCGTAAATCGAGGAATAGTCGTCCTACGTCGCGCTCAACACACTCTTACCTGTTCTCTCGGGTACGGATTTCTGATTGTACGAGCATGTACGAGCAGAGGAAAAAGATGAAAAGAAGAAAAACGTGAACGAGGCTGTAGAGAGTTCCACGGTTCTCTTTAAATCCCTCGACGTTATATATCCACCTGTGGCCTTTTCCTTCGTCCAGGCACGTTTCTCAAGAGATATGTCGATCGCGCGCGTTTTAAAGGGTGAGGGTAAAAGAAGAGGCGCTTTTGAGATTTTAATTAATAATTCATTAATATTACGCCCTTCAGCACATTTTCTCACTCTAACGTGAGAAGCGATGTTAGCCTCAGAAATAGATAATCCTAGACGTAGCGCGCGTGTCACCGGGATGGGATGCTAATTTGTACTTATTTTATCGCGATCTCGTTAGTTTGTTGTTGTTGAAAACAACTATAAAAAATACTTAGCTGCTAAACCGTTTTTTTTTTTTTTTTCGTGTAGTATAAGAACAATCTTCGTAAGAGATTTATTAAATAAGATTTAAAATATGTTTTTCAACATATAAGTACGTGCATACACGTACGTGTTGCATACGTTACTTTGATATGCACACACGTACGTGTTGCATACGTTACTTTGATATACATACACGTACGTGTTGCATACGTTACTTTGATATAGTTATAATTTTAGTTTAATACTACAGAGCCCGAAGAAACTTCTTGTTTATTATTGTAATTTAAAATTCACGCTGGTTGAAGATGGCGTTTATTATCAGATCAATATTCGATAGATGTGCTACGTATTGCGAGACAAACTCCAAGTGCCTCGGTGATCTAACAGGGAACAGACGACGGCCCGGAAAGCCGGAGATTCCAGGTTTGACTCCTGGCTGAGAAGTTTTTTTCGCAATATTTTAATAAAATTAATTAGGGGGGTATACGGGATCCTCCCTTCATACATATGTGATGCAAATCCAGCATCCTATATGGAGGAAAAAAATTATTTCGACATATATATGTATATACATATATATATATATATATATATTAGGTCTACCGGAAAGTTCTGTCCGTTTTTGGAATAAAACAAAATACAAATTTTTCTTAATTTTTCAAAAATGGGATATACAAATTGCCCTCACGCTGGCAAGAAATTATTAATATAATAATGGCAATTATATTATTTAATAAAGTTTATTGACGGTAAGAAAAATTTGTATTTTGTTTTATTCCAAAAACGGACAGAACTTTCCGGTAGACCTAATATATTTAAGCACATTCTCTGCATAACATCCTGCAAAACGGCTCTTATATAACCCAATTTATTTCATTCATTAGTTTAATACTACAGAGCCCGAAGAAACACACACACACACTTCTTGTTTGTTATTAATTTATAGTTAATTTTATCGGTAAAATGTGTGAAAGTCAAAACAAATTTTATTTCTTTGTTTAGCGAAACGCGCGAAACCAAGCAAGTAATAACATACAAACGAGGTCTTCTTACATACACACTTCGAACCAGCGTCGCTGCACATGATGGAAATATACGAGATAATGTCACGCAGAGCCACGTTGCGGGAACAAAAAAGTTCGAAGGGGGTGAGCGGCGAACATGCAGATAGAGATAAGTAACAACGACTCCTCACCGGAACATCCGGCAGGATGCGTAATCAGTACGCGAGTCGTAAAAATCGTTACGACCTTCCACCAGGAAGAGGTCTTGGTCGATCTGCCGTGCGACTGCATAACATTCGCCTGGAGATGAGGGAGAAATCAAAATGTCACGCAATCGCGGTATATACGCATATAAAGCGTCTCGATTGAGATTACCGTCTCGCGTTTCCACTCGGTCGAAAAAAACAATAGTCGCAAGAGAATCTTCCATTCTCCCACTCGCAATAAAAATTCTCTCGCGACATATCCGCCTTACACGGTTATAAATACTTCACAGCACGTAGAGATTTTCGCAACTCTTGCTCTTGCTGTCGTTCAAGCACATTTTATTGAGAATGTCTTTGGCTATGCTCAAGGTTAAAGCGGTCTTGCTATTGTGCAATTTCGACAACAGTTTGTTTTTACTGCCCTGTCGCCGAAGCTTCTTTTCGCGAGTCTCACGCAGACGTATCTGCTTCAGAATTCCAACCAGAAGCTCGTCCACATTATGCTGGAGTCCGCTGGACGCTTCGATGAACTTGCACTCGCGCGACGTGGCCAACTGTTTTCCTTCTTTAACATTATAAACATTTTTGTAACTTAATTAAACTCGCGTGAAACCAAAAAAGTCTGATAATTTAACCAATGTCAAAGTATTTATTGCGTTTGATTTAAATTTTAGTGTTTTTTGATTTTCTCCAATACAGAAATTTATTGGATCAAAGAGAAACGGATGAAAAGAAATATATACGAACTTATGTATGTGTCTATGAATATTATTTTGTTACTCGCTTAATTCTTACCACTTTTTGAAATTTGCCGGCTTCTGGCCAGATCGACCTTGTTGCCAACGACGATAACCGTGTGCTCTTGTGTATAATGCTCTTGCCACAGGTAGTTGAGTATCTCCTCGGCCACATCAAAGCTTTTACGTGAAACGATCGAATAGACGACGATACAGGCATGTGGCTCGTAAGTCGACAATGAGTTTTCAACCTGAGATTGTTTTAAAACGATTTTTTATTTACATCAGATATCAATTACGTAAAATATATCGTATATTCTTCTTGATTATTTATAAATAGTAAAAGATAGTAAAAGATAGTAAAAATAGTTAAAGATAGTAAGTTTTTTTAAAGATATGATTAAATTATAAATAAAATATCTCCTATTTTTTTATATAGTTTAGTTTTGCGTATGCCAGTTAAGAAAAAAAATTTTTTGAATTCAAATGTCAGATATGTATATCACGATATAAACATATAAATTTATCGTTTCAATCATTAGTTCAAAATGCACTGTAGTAGAGAACACTTGCGATTATATTATATGAAAACAAAGGTAACAACATTGCAACTTCGACAATAACGTCACTTTGAGTAATTGTGTTCAAAAGATAAGAAATAAGAACAGAAAAGTACATCACAGAACGCTCTTAGACCCTGTGATAAAACTTTGACCGAACGTAACTCCCTAATTGAGAAATAGTGCTCCCCAAGTTGTGATATTTCATAAGCGAAGAAATAAAGACGGAGCTAAAGCTGTTCACCTTCAAAATTTTGCACAACAGGTATATTGTAGCTGTTACGACAACAACAATGAAAATTCTTGATATCGAATAGAGAATTGTACAAATAAAATAAAATAAAAAAAAAAAGTTCGTAAAGCTCTTTGCAAACTTTGACTATAACGTAAACTTTATATTATCATTGCTTCGTTGTAGCTATTGAAAAACTTTAAATGTGTTTTTTTTAACTATTATTGCTAAAAATATTTACATTGTGCGTGCTTTTTTGAGAAAACAATAAATTGCTCAGATATAAAAGCAACTTAGTAAACTTTATACAACTACAATATTAATGTTACAATACTCGACTTACAGTTTGATACACGAAATTCTCATTAACGCACGCTGAGCAAACTCAGGTGGAGCTGGCTCAACAAATCCCAAGAGTAGTTCGGATTAAGAGTCGATTCAACACGGTACACCCGCTGTCAGAGTGTTATTCAAAAGGAATTTTATTCGAGAAACTCCGACGAGAAGGAAACTTTACATTAAAGTTGATCCTGTATTATAACTAAATATCGATTATTTTATACCAATTTATAAGACTGGAAAATGTTCTCGTTCTTATGTTATTATTAAATGTCACTGATAAAAAAAAATTACGATAAATAATAGAAACTTGCATCTACACGATAAATTGTTCTCACTGAAAATATTTTGACAATCTAATAATACGTCATATTAATTTACATACATTTACATTGATAAAAAAAACCACAATCTAAATTATTAAAGTTGATCTCTTTAATATCATGTTCAATAAAGTTAAGTAACAAGGTTCAGAAGATCGATATAAACTTAGTTGCTTTACTAAATTAATTATTAAACATTTCTTTCTCGAGAATTCTCGAAATTTCTTTCTTGTATTTCTCGTTACCATAATTCAATCTCCTCGTAAGCACTATCGTGTATTACGAGTTCCTCTTAATTTTGCTCTTTTAATATTTTTCTGACTATTTTCAGCAATATCTCTAATCTCATCGCAATTGCCAAGCAACGAATTATGTTATGAAAGTGACGAAAAAAATGAAGAAACTCTCTGCGCCGCAGAAGATAGCTTTTCCTAACACAACTTTTTTTTTCATTCTGTTTAATAAATCTAAAATTAAGAGAGTAGTCTGAAATAAAAATTGGTTTACACATCAAGATAGATGTATGTGAATAATTGTACAGATATAATATAAATGTAGATATAATTAAAAAAGTAAAAAAAAAAAGATAAAAAAAGAAAGATAGAAAGAGAAATAAGAAGTTTAATTGTCACGTTGATACGTAATTTATAATTCGGAAACAAGAATTGTGCGAACTGTTATGTACGAGAGGCAATGTCTAATATAAGAATTAATTAATCCTGACAAAAAGAATTTTATCGCGTGACATTTTTATAAATCAGCATTTGCATGATAAAAACCGTTAAATGTCACGATGGTCTTCTCACTCATCAGTATTCATAAGCGAATTTATGCGTACTGGACGAGGCTGTGCGAAATATCGATTTGACTGACATATCCTGCACAAAACAAAAAGGAATCGTACGTGTTAAGACGTTAATGTCGAAAACACAATGACAATATCTTTGTGGTCAATGTATATATTCAAACTTGAAATATGTTAATATGAAATACTAACAATAAGATCCTTCTGAGCTGTATAAGACAATGTAGATTAAAGTGCTGCGGAACTTCGTATTTCACACAACAATGGAATGTAATTAATACATTCGCAGTACGATGATGTAATTATTGTTCTGTATGTTTCAAAAGTAACCTTATACACACACAATACTTACGCTCATTTCCACGTGCGGATGATCGATAAAAACCATATCCGATTCCTCGTCATCTAACAGAATAGAAACGGTCTTCTCGCCAAACTCGTCGTCTATAACATAAATACGACGGTCTGTGCTAAATGTTGTTGTTAATCTCATAAACGATAGCATTATTAAAATATTTTATGCAAACAGTATTGAAAAAAAAAAAACTGTTTGTAGATGTGTTTCGTGACACAAATATTTTTTTATTTATGACTATAAACTAATTTGATATTGCTAATTATATTTCGCGAGTAAATAACGCAGTACAAATTGTCGTTAAAGCATAAATATATTTTGCCCTTAATTAAATTCAATGTTATTATATATTTAATCGACTGTAATTATGTAGTAATGCGGTCAAAAGTCAATTTTTTGTTCATTTCTTTCTGCGGTGAGCATTTTTCTTAATTTAACGAAAAATGTCTTGCAAAGTTTGACGAAAACTTTCTAAGAGTGATCAAACAATCAAGTCAAAACTTCACTTTGCATATTATATTCGTGTAAAACAACCAGTTCTATTAAGTCAGTCGCACAAAAGTTTCTTAACGATAAGACTGAACGAATAAGAACTATTTCTATTAAGATAAGAATCTTAAATGTCGCGTTTAGAAGAAAAGAAAATGAAAGATCGTTTATGATGCAATGGGAATATTAAAAATTATGCAGATAATTATTAATAGATTAATTAAACTCGTGCAACTCATACACAGAGAGAACACAACGGAATTGATTATAAGTCCGGACAAGCAAATTCAAAGAGATAAGATCAAACTACCTCTCTAGGTATGGCTAATGTAGCACGCGCAAACTTTTACAATTTGTCGCAAGCAAGTTTGAAGTTTGAGAACACCATTAAACGACTCCAAACTAACGATTCACGTTTACAAAACGTGCTTTTATTACTCCCGATCGGGCAATCCGGATCAACAAACTGTTTGTTAAAATCTAAAGTGTACAACAAGTTCTTTAATTGAACGATATATTGATGTACGTCGCGTGCATGTTATTATGACGCTTGTAACGTTCGCGAATGTAAATACATGTAACATTAAAAAACCAATTTATTCGACATTACAGATTATCATCTGAAGAACATTAACTCCTCTCATTTCTCTGCGAAAGATATCACATAGAATCATGAAATTTCAAGAGAATCAAAACTAGGTCGCGGCATTAAAACTGTGTGATGAAACTCAAACGTTACAAATCTCTATCTCCATGTAAAGTGATGTGGAACCGCACAAATATTGATCGCTTTCGTATCGTCAAATCCATGCAAAAAGAGACGAAGTTTTTTTTTTTTTTTTTTTGTTTCATTAAAGAGAGGTAAATTTTTGCCGGTACGTGTTTTTTTATTTACGTAAATTTAATTCACAGATCAATCAAAAACTGCCGTAAAAAAAATGATAGAATGTTGTAACGGAACGGATTGTAAAATAAATAAATGCCGTGAAGTGGTGTGTCTCGTGACATCGATATACCTATGATAACGGTACTATAAAAAAAAAAAAAAAAAAAAAAAAAAACACTTTGCCAGTGCAATTTCCCAAGAAGATCTTCCAATTTATCAGTTTTTGTTTGTTTGTTTTTTTTTTAAATTAATAAAGTAGAATATAAGATTCTTTTCGGGCCTCTAAAGTTAATGTTTTTTTTTTTTTTTTTTTTTCATTGCTCAGTAGGTACACAGTAAAGTGCGTACCAAATCATATAATGCCGTGTGTTTGTTTGTACATACATTAAAATCTTTTCAGTGAAAACGTCCATCATAACGAAGATCGTGACAAATGTCTCTTCGTCGATGTGGGTGAGAATTCTTTTTCTTTCCCCGGCATCTCGAGAAACGAATTCATCACTGTCGTCTTTCCCTCTTTTTCTTATCCCCGAGATAACAACAAAAATTAAATTTATTTGTGACGTAATACATATTTTGAGAATATAGAAAAGAGTAGTTTGAGGATATAGAATAGAAAATAAATAGAGCAAGCAAAAAAAAGTAAGTTGCACTTAACAAAAAAGTTATACACGTGTATTTTTTAGATAGTGTAATTTAAACTAAATATATGTTAAAAAAAAATGTGATTGCATATTGTTCCAATTTTATTTTAATGATATTTAAATCCTTAAATACTTGATAAAAATTTTCTCGCAAAACAAAATAGAGAAAGTTTTCGTCTAGAATATAAAGAGATATTATAATTTGTCTGTTACTTACAGATAGCATTTAATCAAAACTTTCGTTAAGAGTTCTCGTCAAACGCGCAAATCATAAACAAGTTAAGATCTCTTATTTAGAGAACTAGAAAGAAGAGATAAATTTATATTTTGAGCATGAAAAAGTTTCAACGCATCTTTTGCATAGATTAATTAAACATAAAAATAGCATATTAAATTAAAAATCCTGAGGCGGTACGGTATAAATATAACAAAAACCCACGCGAAAAACCGTAAGATAAGAAAAGAATTACTTATTATTTCATTAACTTGTTTTGCACAATTAAAAAAAACCGATAAACAGATCGATGCAGATAAAGGATGGATACCTACGTTACGGTAATTTACTTTTGTTTTGATTCGACAATAATCTGCGTTATAACGTGGAGCTTTTGAATAATATTGGACGGCACGTGAAAGAATGATACAAAAACTGCATTCTTTTAAACTAAGTTATACCGAGTTTTTGCACGTATGTGAGCGTTTGCAATCGCATAAAGGGATGAATACATATATATGTAAAGCGCGCGCAAACGCCTCTGCAAAATCCCGGCTTGTGCACAAAATGATTGCGTCGGGCAGCGCAACGTGCCGCGCGGCCGCAATAACGAAGGGATTGTCCACTTCACGAAAGGCACTTACGTTTCAAAGCAGCGCGCGACTGACAAAAATGCAAAATGAACAAAGTGAATAGTTTCACTTCGTATTTCGTTTTATTACGAACTCTTTTATTTATGAAATCAAATGAGCGTTGGCAAATTTATCGCTTATATGTATATAAACATATATCGGATTGTTCGGAAAGTTTGTAACGATTTTGAAAATTATATTTTGTACATTACCATAAATGACAACATATCTGAGACATTGCACAGATAATAAAAACATCGAATGACGTCGTATATGAGATTTACAGAATCTAAATTATACGACTCGATAAAAATTTAAATTTTTCATCTTTAAATTTCATTAAAAAATGCTACATACTTTCCAAATCTAATATATACATATATTCATATATGTATAATTTTTATATGTGTATATATTTTTTACGTCATATATATTTTTTTACGTCTTTGAGCGCGTTTTAATTAAAAGTTAATTAATTAATTAAGCAACAGTTAATTAAATGTCATAAACCCTATGTCTATAATCAGAGCTGGTTATCGAACAACGGGTCAGCAGTCAGCACACATTGTGCACAAATGCGAATTATAGAGAGACATCAAAGAGATGAAATCAGGTTGTTATTCAAAAGGATGGAAACTCTGTTAAATACATCTTCTTAAAAAAAAAAAATTATCCTACACATATTTCCTTTGTTTTTGTTCTCGACGAATAAACGAAGAGATGATTTAGAGAGATTTGATTCAAAAAAAGAAAAAGTAATATCTATAACACAAAGGAAAGGAAAATCGCTTCAAATTATTTCAGCGTGTTACCACATTGCATTTTCCCGTGTGTAATGAGCGCTCCACGTATACGTATAGATTTGCGTCAAATGTCGCAACACGAAGACGTTCTATGCTGAATAATCAATCTCATTAATGGAAAATAAGTCTTGAGTTTCGCATCTCGCGTTAAAGGACGTCGCGGCATTGTTCGTTGTAAAAGGATGATGCACGAACTTACCTAGACTGGCATCGTACGTGTTTATGTATTCGCTCGTCATGAATTGCGAGACCAGGGCTGTCTTTCCCACCCCGGAGTATCCCAGCAAGACGACTCGATACTTCGAAATAGTTTCCTCGCTTTTGCTGTCGGTGCTAATGTCCTGTCCGCTGCAACAGGAACCGTCAAACGGCGATCTCTCGCCCGACACATTGCTGTTTCTGTAAGGAAACAGAGAAAGAAACATCAGAGAAATGCAATGTTTATAAAAAACAATAATAAGAATACAAGAGATCAAAAATCGATACTTAATTAATATTTTGAAATTCGCTGTCTTTCTTTACAGTAGATCTTCATTTGTACGATGTCTTATTTGTGTTTTGTCTTTTCGTCACTCGAAAACAACTAAGAACGTTTTGCGATTTATTCTGTACGTGCACGACATTTATAAAATGTTAACATTTGTATATTCTTTGATATTTATAGAGAAGAATTAATACGTACAATTCAGAAAGTATACGATAGCAAACGAGATACGTGTATCAAAGATCAAAGATAATATCTATCGGATAACGTGCAGAAAACGTATTACGTTTCATTATTAACCATCGTGCGCGCATGCTAAATACAGTCGAATAAGCTGCTGACGTGTTGCTGATGTGCGTGTGCATTAATATACATAGGGTTGCGCGTAACCATCATCGCAACGAGTCATCGGCTTTGTCACGTCGTAATAATTATCGCATTTTAGCTGCCACCTGTCTCCGGGACACAATCCGGCGGATTTCGGCAGTCTAATAACTAACAAGTTCAGTTTCGGCTTGACTTTGATAAGTTTGCATATTTTGAACGTAAAGCGCGCAATATCGCGCGTAGTTACGGAATTAAGTTGTTCAAATTAGATCTCGTCCGCCAGATTATAACGAGATATCGGAAAATTAACTATCCAATCAGTACAATATGCTTTTATAATCATTTATCGATTAAAACGAACTTTTCTGCGGTAACCTTTTATTAATCGCCATTTTATATCAAGCAAAGGAGAAAAAGAAAAAAAATATATATACCCGAACTTTCCAGTTTATCGCAGAAATCGCTTGCTCGTTAAAGTCGCGCACATGTATAACTCTCTCTATAGGAAGCTATATCGTATATAAGTACGTTTTAAAATCAGGCAAAAGTACAAAGATACAACCGATATTCGTACCAATGTTTCCGCGCGCGAATATTTTTGATGGTGTGTGTATGTTGTACATGTTTGTCTGCAGTAAAACTACGGTAGCTTAAACAAATGTTTGGTGAGTCGATATAGACCGCACTCTTCCTTGAATTGTTTGCTCAAAACAATTTCTCAAAACTATATCTTTTGTTAAATTTTAGAGATTCGATATACAAAACTCTTATGGATTCGTTATTTATAATAATGACTTTCCTTAACTCTGACGTACAGTACCATTTCCTATATTCTATATTAAATATTACGTCCATATATTAGGTTCGAAGCTTGTATAGAATTTGTACATTTGTATAGAACAAGTGTACTATTATTTAAGCTTAAGTAACGACAGCATGTGAATATATATAGCTACAACTGCGTTCAATTAATTGTCGCTTATAAAATACTTGACATAGATTTACCGACATTGCATCTCGATTTAATTTGCATCTAACAGATACATACCTTTAAAGGTATTGCATTTCTGCGCTATGCTAATAAACGTTGCGAGCAGCTAATCTGATTACTATGATTGTTCTCTGCAAGCAACAATCACACACGCACACACACAAAAGAGAAAGAGACAGAGATTCTAGCTTTTACCTAACAAAATATTTGTTAAAGTATCGATATGTTACAACTCTTCAATGAAGAAATGCGAAAACACTTTTTAGATATTTTATCCAGAAATTCGAAAATTTTATTCTATTTTCAGATGAGAGATATTAAGACTACATATATTTCAATGAATTTGCAATAACAGTGAATTTTCTGCTCTTACGGCGTATTTTTTTATTTATTTTTTTTTTTTTTTGTTCATATAGCAATATCCAATTAGGCGATTTACGTTCAGATAAATCGGAAGATGTCCGCGATATTCTTCAGAAGCTAACAAGACAAGCTGTTTACGTTCTTTTGCCCCATCATTGTTATTTCGAGCAAATGGATGTAATATATCTCACAATCGCTCTTACACAATTCTCTCTTCTTCTAACTTTCTTTTCGGTATTAGATAATGCATTATTTACCGAAAATGCAGTCAAATCCTATACAACAAATACTATGCAAAAATAAACTGTTAGAAAAACAAAATAAAAAATAAACTGAAGATAAATTTGTATTGTGAAAAAAAATAGCAAAAAAAGAGATCTTTCGTTACTTTTTAACTTTCATGCGTTTCATAGTTTTACTTTTTCTCTCTGAGTAAACTAAAAGTTAAAATACTACTAAAATCTTTCGATAGAGAACTTACAGATTGACGGAAAAATAATATATTTCAATAAAAAGAAAATTGATATTAAATAGAAAACTTTTGAGCGTTTTAACGGAACATGACAGCTATCTTCTTTTTAGCAATTTTATATTAACGCATCCGCCAACTAGATTTGCAACCTGTGCCAACAACGTTGACGTAACGACATTTATCCGAAGAAATGTAAATTATTGTGCATTAATATTAAAAGACCGAAAGAGTAGAGTTATAAATAATCTGCTTCGAGGTAATAACTTAAAATATTGATTTTGTATCCTCAATTCTCTTCTCGATTCGTTATCTCTTTGTAATATATTTACATTTTTTATTAATTATTTTTATCTTTTTATGTATAAAAAATAGAATGCTGACTCGCGCGATGTAAGAAAAAAATTGTCAAATGTGAAGAATATAATACGCGTTTCAGTGGCTTATAACTTCGCGTTAGACAAAAGTCCAATATTAATCCAGCGAAGCGCGTGAGCAATTCTTTTTTTTCTGGCGGCTACACATCGCTGCATCTCCCATCGCGATATCGAGGTCATAGATTCAAACAAAAAAAACTTCTGTTGAAACGGCATGAAGGGTAATGGCATGGAACTGTGTTCGTTTCCCGAAGACGCTCACAATCAAATTTTGCGGGACGCAAAATTTAACGCAAATTTAACGCGTTGACGTCGATCGTTTGCCACAGCTGTGAACACTTTTCCGCAATTAAAGTTAAAGGGCACCGAGCAGAGAGAAATTAAAAACTCCCCTATCCTTTGCTACATAAAAAAAAAGTCAGATAAATTCGCCAAATTTGTGTCTCAGAAATGTATTCCGTTTTTTTAGTTTCGTGATTATCAACGTGTTTTTGTTCGAAATGTTGTTATATCGCAATAATGTTTGTGTGATTCTTTTTGATTTAATAAAATATATTTGCATAGAATTAATATTTTGTTCTCTGTGAATAAAATACAAAGTATTTTGCTATTGATATAAAACTTATTTTAGGCTTAGATTTTTTATTGCACGATGTTTACTATATAGTCGACTGTTATATTTTACGTATATTAAAACTACATTGTTGCCAAATCATCAACTGTTATATTTCACCTAGATCTCCCCTGTATGTATAAGAAAGCTGCTCAATACTTGCAGAAAATTGTTAGAGTGTTTTTTATTATCTTTTAATTTTTTTTTTTTTAAGTTGTTTGAGCAACAATTGCGAAGAAAATGCAAAATCTAATCTTGTGCTCGATCGGATATAACGGCTCCACCGTTCTCTTAATCCCAACGCTATCAGCGGAAAAAAAAAAAAAAAAAACGATTCTATCACCGTGTAAGGCACATTCGTGAAAAATAAAATCTCCGATCATTTTTCACGTGCGCTTTATTTCGGTAAATCAATTTTGTCATACGCAACAGCGAGCAGCTACAATGGCGATTGTCTCTTTTTTGGTTCCAATATCAAACAAAAGATTTCGTTTTTTTTTTTTTTTGTTAGTAATAAATCCACCAAACGGAGAGTCGAATTTATCGAATGGCATTTGAAAGTGAAAACATATGATTCGCTCTGAAATCCGCCGTTCGTTATTCAAAGTCAATTAAAATAGACGATTATACGCCGTACGTTATAAATAAACGTTTGTTTCTTCCACAATAAGTCAAATCTTATTATTATTATTATGCACACAAATATGTTTTATATTATCTCAAATTTGAATTTGCGTTAAACATATAACAAACACAATAAAAACAGCTCAAAGCTGTTAGAATTTATCTGAAATGTGACTGATATTAAAGTTCCAACTATAAATTTCACGTCGTAGCTCTTCTGGTTTTCATCAAATTTCGTTAATTCTGAAAAACGAGCTGTTTTATCACAAAATCCAACACAGTCATATAAATCAATGTGAATGCGCAAACATCTCGGAGCATCTCAGATCGCTTTTGCAGTAATTTATAATTAATAGTAAAACGGTGGTTTAATTAAAATAGTTAATGTAACCAAAGGGAGCCGTTCCATATTTCTCTGCTAAGCTCGCTGATCCGTAACGGTTGTATGTTGAACCCCAAAAAGGTCATCGCTACAAAACCCACTGGGAGAAGAATAGGTCATATGTGATCGTTGATTCTTGCGATCCGAAAGATTCGCGCAATTACCAAAATCTATATGGTCTGCAAAAAAGTTGTTAGACGTCTTGTGTCACAAAAAAAAAAAAGCAAGACGCGAGTTAAGTGTCTTTGTGTCGCGATTTGTGTCAGAAGTATTGTGTGTGATAAAAGTTACAAATTTTGGTTTGTGCGAGCGACGTCGAGCTGAAATATAACATGGAAAGCCTTTCAGAATACATCAAATAGTACATATTTCATCTCTTTTTGCTCTTTCACGCAATTTCTCAATTTCTTTGCAAACCGATGCAAAATGCACGACCCGATCGATATCATTTTTTTTTTTTTTGTTTTTTTTTTGCAAAATTGTACGCGATTGATCATAGTCAAGTCGATAGAGCGTGGCAACGTGTGATTGATCATGGTCCATCCTCGTAATAAGATACATTTGCGATACACAAACTGCGTTACGTAATTTAAAACTATAGATCACCAAAGAACCTCCTCATTTTAACGTTTTCGTTTACTCTGGCGACGCAAAACAAAAGTGCACCTTTTGCAATTTGATCACAAAGCAAAAATGTTCTTTCTATTCGGATTACAAAGTAACCGCGCGCTCTTGACGCACGTTGGATTAACTTCTGTAATGCATCGCTCTTAATTAACAAATAACGCAAAGAACAGCTGCTCATTATCGTTTTGTGCAATTGTGTCAATTTTTTTAACGTGGGAACAAGAATGACGATAAAAGAGAATTCTCTAAAAAAAAAGAAAAAAAAAGAAAACAAGAAACGTTGTACGCATCATCGATGCAAAGTAATTAATGACGTTACGTAAAAAACGGCTTTTCTCCGTTCTTGCGATATGCCCTTAAAGCAACCAGCGACCCATTATCAAGAGCTGTTTTCGTTCATAAGAAATAACTGCGGCTTGTGCCGGAGGCAGCCGGATTAATTATGACTGCAAATAACTGCGCCGCCGCGGTCTACAGCCGATGCATCGCATGCATTTTGACCTACACGCGGTTCGCATGAAAATTTTATACCGGTCGATCGTGAACGCGTAACTTCAGCCGAGAGCAATTCGTTCCTGATAGCGATTATGCTTGGCACGTGTGGAAATGTAAACACGTGCGCAAAGTGAAGCTCGGACATGTTGAAGCAAAGAAAAGAAGAAAGAAAAAGACGAAAGAGAAAAGAAAGAAAAGAAAGTAAAACAAGCACAAATATTTGCTTCGTTTATTTAGAGAAACGTGCAACGAACAGAAACAGCGCGCGAATCTGATGCCTGATATATATATATATTAAGCTCGAAGGGTGAAACGGCTATCTCGGAGAGATATATATAAATATATATATTAGAAATATCTAAATTCCATATCATCGCTTGAAGATAAATCCTGTCGACAAATTATCTATTTGCCTGACATATTTGACAAATTTGAATTTTATGAAAGTATTTTATCAAACTCCGAATTTCGAGCGAATAATCAGAATTTTATTCTATAAATTCTCATTCAATGCGAACGAAATAAGTTTGCAAAAATAAAAAATTGTTGAAATTTGTTTTCATTTTGAAGAAAAACTCTTTTATATTTTATATCATATTAGTTTTTTTTTTTTTTTTCAAAAGGACGAGAGAGATAAAATGTGAGAGATAAAAAGTTAAATTGCTCGATATTAGTAAATCAAATTAGCAGATTCCTCCTGTTTTTTACAATCGTAAAATAATTGAGTCGGAATTCTCACGTTTGTCTGTGATTTATATTTTTTTTTTTATTTTTTTTTTATTTTATTTATTTTATTTGAATGTTGCGCGTAAAAGCTTGTAAAAAAATAAATACAAAAAAAAACCTGTGTCGTGTGCAAAACATTTGCACAAAAGAAACGATTAATAGATACAATTTCGTGATACGAAAAGGAAATCAATGATAAACAGTTGGATTTCGAAAGAGGCTTTTTCGTGGAAGTGACTATAAAATCGTTTTTTTAATACCTTCGAGATAAAAAAAATATTTTTCTTTCAGCTTATATCTCGTATGTACAACGAGCAAGCTGGCTCGGTACAATAAAACCGAGGTTACAACGAGCACCAACAAAGACGTAACTATTTTGAGAGACGCTCTAGCGACGTAGTCTCGCAATAAAGCAGCGGACAAGTGACGTCTCTCGGTGAACAAAAAGGCTTGTGAAGATAATATGAGACAAAGTAAACGTGACAATTACGCAAACAAATTTTTTTCAGATCAAAAGAGTTGAGAGTTGAAAAATTATCGGTATATCTTTTTTCAAAAATAGTCTATGTCTCTCGACAGATAGATGTTTAAAATATTAAGAGAATGCAAGTTACTAAAATCAGTGAGAGATCGTCGCGTGTAACGAAGCGCTGTGAAACTCGCTTCTCAATTACGCTTTTTAATGGCGAGTTTCTTCACAGACTTAGCTTAGTAAGTTTTCCGCCTGAAAATTTTCTGAGATTCAGTAACCGATTCAGTATCGTATTTACACTTTTTAAATGTTAATTAATACGCAACAAAACTAAATCTGCTATCTTTCGATAATTTATTAAAACCGAACAATAATTTATGATTAATGTACAAAACTTCTTTCTTATTCTGTGAGAAATAATTCACGCGTTTTAGACAACTCGCGTGTCTAAATAAATTAATTACACCTTTGAATAATTATCTATATTTTCTTTGACGTTGGCCAAACGCAGCCGGCGCGTCGAAATTCGTTGTCTGCGTCGTAGCACCGTTTTGGACGTAATCCACGACAAAATCAGATTTTCGAAGTTGGAAGTCTTCAAATCATTTTCTAGCTGTCTGAGTCATATCGATGAGAATCGCTCGGTGAGAAAATTAACAAGGAACGATGTTGTGAGTCATTTCTTCTTGGAAGAGAAATCAAATCTGCGAGTATATATTGCCTTAAATAAACGATGATTGCAATTGTAGGAAAACACTTCACTCTGTAAAATTTTCACAATTTTTCAAATATGAAAAAAGAAGATTTCGAATTTAAAACTTGGAAGACACAATATTAAGAAAGCCAAAAACACTTTCTTTAAAAATTAAAAACCCAAATTATATATGTAGTATATAAATAAATAATGTTCTAAATAATCTAAGGAAAACTTTTTTATATGGGTGGAATATTGACTCATCAATGATTTTTTTATCGGTAGAAAGCTGAGGAGAGCACGGTATGAATTATTCCTAGGTATATGAAAAATGAAAAGCACTTTCCGCACGGAACAATAAGCGCGCATACGAAACAAATTCAATTTACTTCTGAGTGAGTTATTCTTTTTTTGAAAATAATATTAGAGAAAAAAATTGCGCCATTCAAAATTAAACTTATCTCGTGAAAAACTCGCAAAACGTAAATGCAATTTATCATGTCATTTTTCTTCCGTGTATTAAAAATACAAGGGCTCTTTGTGAAAAATTGCACTTGACGTTTCGCTTCCAGCCATAATAATGCTTCCCTTCTGCAAAAAAAGAAGATCTTCGAAATTGTATGTTTTCGCCTTAAAAAACTTCTACCGACTATTGTCTATAGAATTTCAAAATACTAATATTTTCTTCGCGATAAAATAAAAACGCAAGAAGAAAATCAGCTTGAAATTGTTGCGGAGCTATATATAATTTCGAGAAAATCGCACACCGCAAGAAGCGAACTCTCGCACGTCGTAAAATTTCAAGTACTTCTGCTGGGTGCGAATAAAAGCATCTCGCGCGCAAAAGTGTCAGATCTCCGCGAGTTTTCCGGGCGCGATTTAATTCCCGTAGATTTGCCCCAGTAATGGTAATGGTCGTTTAACGTGCTGCTTTCTGTCGACCAACTTTTACTCGACATTGTAACTTTTCGCCAATAGCAACGCGCGTTTTATCCGTAAGCTTTTTTTTTCGCGAGAAGCGTAACAGGGCTGTGACATACACGTGCGTTTGTTTATCGAAGTGATTCACGTAGTTGCACATCGCGACATATTTACATTTTCTTCTTGACGTTTGGTGTTATACTAGATGGTTTACATCCGGAAAAAAAAATATCTATCAAAAAAATTAAATTAAAGTGAATTAACAAGCATTACTTAAAATCTACACATTCCTAATTTTACAAAAATACGATAATGTTACGTAAAGTAACAAAATGTTCTTCTCATATTATGATAATAATAGCGAGGAACATACGGATGGTATCAACAATTGCACAGTGAAGCAAGCGAATCCTGAGTCGTATAAAAATAGATTAAGGTTTGCTGGCTCCGAAATTACGTTAAACATTCAAATTTAGGAATTCTACGTTTATGGTATTTTTAAATAAAATGACGTTGTTGTGACACCTTACGAACTATTTTCTATAGTACATGTAACATGTTGAAAAACAATACATTCATGTTCCGTTATCACAACGTGCCATCTATTTTTTTGAAAATATATGATTATATACCACACCTGTTTCTTTGCAGAAGAATTCAAATAAAATTCATTTCTCTGACAAAATATATTTTACGAAATATATTTGCTATTATTTTCTTTCTTTATTTTTCTCTCTCTCTTTTTCTCTCACACATATGTTACCACTTAAGATAACAAATTTTTTAGATAAAAAAAACCTTTTATATGCCGCGTGTTATTTCTAAAAACTATGAGGCAAAAATAAACGGTAGACGATGATTCGCGGTGCGTTGTCACAAACTGCAGAGCATTGACTCAGCAATGCAGCCGCATATGCCACCACCAGCCAGCATTCCACGAATATTTCGCGCCTCGGTTTTTCGCTTTTCATCCCCGCTTGTTGTTCATCTCATGCCGCGTGATCGTAGACTTTCCCACTCCGCGTTCGCATCCCGTGTCCCAACGGTATTAGAAATAACCCGAAGCTCCGATGACGATTTTACTCATTCGCGAGTTCGGTTTCAGCTGGTGCGTGTCGTGGTGGTCGCGCGTGGTCCGCAAGTGAACTCGATCGGAACGTATTGCAAGCTTCGTCATGGAAGTCGTCAAGGGTGAGTTCTCTCGCATAAATTGGATTTTACGCTCTCGCGAAATTCTATTGAAATTATTGCGCTCAGTTATTTTTTATTCGTTTTGCAATTACGCGTTTAATTTAAAATGCAATATATTCTGCTTCTCGCGTTTTCTTTGTCTCCGGATAGCTTGATTCCGGACAAATACACAATAAGAACGTTCGACACTATCGTGTGTCGGTTAGGATTTTGTTCGATTTCCGTCGCGAGCACGTTTTAACGCAATATTTCCGAGATCGTGAAAATAAAAAAAAACCGTAATCTCTCTTTCTCTCTCCCTCACACACACAAATACGTACTTACTGCAGGAATATTGTTATATATATATATATATCACTTTTATTCATTTTTATAAAATTTAATAAATATGCGTTGAAATTGCGTCGTTAACGGTTCAGAATTCATCAATTATTAATAGCTATTTAATACTGCATCTATATTATTCATTGATTATCTGTTTAATATGTTTGTTATCTTTTGTTTATTGTTATTGTTTTAATAGATATAGTAATTTCCATTGTTTTTGCGCGAAATGCATAGCAAATTACATTCTATTTTGGTACCATTAATTAGTCAATATCGTCAAAATAAGATTAATTAGTCGCATTAACTGTATAATCTATTCGATTAATACGCAAAATACCAAATAAACGGTAAAACGCGGTTTCTAACAATTCGAAAATCTTTCGAGTACGCACAATTCAAGAACAATATTATATTCTTTCAGCAAACGATTCCAGCAGTCTCGTTGAGCAGTCGTTGAACGTAAGCGCGGCAACGAAATCTGTCTCGACGTCGAAATCCGTGCAGAGTGTCCAGACGAAGTCTGTCGTGGAGTCGTCAACGTCGATCAAATCCGTTTCTTCCTCGTCATCTAGATCCCATCAGTCAATGGAATACGAAGAAACGGTCGAATATAGCGATTAAACGCAGTTAGAATAACGTGAATTCTTCCAACAAAAAAAAATAAAAGACATCAAGCAAGAAGAGGCTTCAAGAACGTAACAAGAATTTTCGCTCGATATTTCGTCGTGATTCATCCGTAATCGTCAAAATCAGTCATCTTTCGATTCAACCGTCCTTGTTTTCCTTGTGAAAAAAAAAACCACGTACTTGAATCTATAAATTACATACGCATGAAAAATAATATTCAAATCAACGCAAAATCAACAGAAATTTCTCCGAGCTTTTCTCCGATTTGACCTCGAGAGAATCACGAGGTTGATGATCGCGAGGGAAGATCGAATTGACGGGTCAAGGCGTCTATTCGTCAGAGAGTTGCACACACCGAAATAACTATTCGCCGCGCCGCCATTACGCACAGTTGCAATGATTCGACGAAATGAAATACGACGAGTTCGAAGAGACAGACGGTGAGAGAAAGAAATTGAAAAAACGTGCAAGCGAAGAAACGCTCGGATGTATCTGGCCCTCGTCCAACCGACGTGGTTTGCCGCCAAATAGCGATTCGTCTCTCTTTTTTTTTTTTTATTTGACAATTGTTCTCCCAACTTACGTTGACGTTACGTCCTTTACCTTTAGAGTTATGCGGATTGCTTTTGTCGCGTCTCGCCACGTGACGTCATTTTATTCCCATTATTATCTTTGTATAATAAAATGTTTCTGAAATTTTCTTTTCGTTTGTTTAATGACCTTCCTTTGCCTCATTACATTGTTTTTAATTAATTTAGGTGGATATATCACTGCTGAAATATCGCTCATTTTTTTCAATTATTGTTACATCGTACTATTGAAATATATTTCTCAACTGTGTTTTGTACAAAAAAAATACTATAAACTAGACTTTGAATATGTTGATTGTTTTTTATCGGGGTATAATTTTATTGAAATAAAATTCTCATGTAAAAAGATAGCGAGTAATATGTCCTTTTAAGTACAAAGTTTAAATAACGCATGTGAAGTAATTTTATTTTTAGAGAACGTCTTTCAATATATAACCAGCACTACTCTGAGGAAGATTTAAGAAAGAAGTCGTCGCGATCAGTTTCCACGTCACACTGCCAAACGCGTCTCTTTTTTCTTTTCTCTTTTTCAACCTCTCGCTCTTTATATCTGCTGCGACACGTGCGCGACGGTGGCTTGAAAGAAAAAGAACCACGATAAAAAAAAAAAAAAATATGATTAGAGGGAATAATGTCATAAGAAAAGAGATAACAAAAACAGACAATAAAAAGAAACTTACTTTAGGCAAGAATACAAACCTACACGAAAATTAAAATGACGCTTCTCTGCGTTCCGCTCAATAAAAGTAAAGAAAGTTCCTAAGAACAGTGCCAAATAAGATGTAACGTGCGTCTTCAGAATTCACGACAAGTGCATCTACTCGTCCAACGAAAGAGATACACACAAGTGAAGGAAGGATTTGGATCTTAACATGGTGGTAACAGGACGGCGTTTCAATATCCTGTCGTTTCAGGCAAATGGAGCAATACACACTCGCAAAGATATAGGATTTGCTGTGCAAGCACGCTGCGTGAATCGAATGATCCGCAGGAAGCATTCCCGAGAGAGTTGTGTGTGTGTATGTGTGTGTGTGTGTGTGTTGTAACTTCCGATTGATTTAAAACTCTGTCCGCGTAAACGCTGCAAGAGATACAGTGACACCTTTTCAATCATAAAATATTTATTGCGCAGAGAGAGAGAGAGAGAGAGAGAGAGAGAGAGAGAGAGAGAGAGAAAGTAGTATTTACAGTGTAATTAATATTTGATGAGCAATTTTATAAATCCACGATCGTATATCACTCTGAACATGCTAATTGTTCTACTAAAAATAATAAATAAATTTATTATATCTCAAGTAACAACAAAAATTTCGAAGCAACATGTTTTTTTTATCTGAAATTATTATTAGAGAAATATATATAAGTTATATGTATGAGATATAATTTATACACCGAAAAAATTATATTCTCGTAAGTAGAAGATTTTATACTTAAAAAATCTTAAAGATTTTAGATGATATTCTTCTGAAATTAAGAAATATATTCTTAGATATATTCTTAGAAATTAAGAATATATTCTTTATTTAAGAATATATTCTTATAATTTAAGAATATAGTTTTTTTCGATAGTGAGATATATATGTTTTTCCATAGAGGCTTTTTATATTCTAATCAGTATATATTCTTATCAATATTACTATTTAGAGGATTTTCCTCTTAAAATAAGAAACTCTTCTTGGCGCCTATTTTAGTATAAAATATACTTAAAGTAAGTGGGATATTCTCAAAACAAGAATACAATTTTTTCGGTGTATAAAGCATAAAATCTACATAAATGCATATGAAAATCTGTTGCACGAAAATCGACGATTACCGCAAAAATCAAGATTTTGTGAATATTTAAAATCATGTCTTGAAATAAACGCGTCGCACATTGTAACTTAAAACATGCTGTCTATCCGCCGTCCTAATACACTCGATCACAATAGATGACGTTGATTTAAACGAGAGATGGATCGCTCATGGATATCCTCGCGAAAGTAGGTCACATACATCTTCAAGATAAACGTTTCGGTGTCCATTGAAGTATATCCCGGCGAAAAGAAACAGATCGTGACTCGTCAATGACTCGCCTCACTTGACGCGAAAGGTCATCTTTTACGCGGTTATATTCGGTTGACAGAAACAAGATGACATTTGTGGAGAGTTCTCTTTATGTTAATGCGATAATGGAATTCTTCGTGAAAATGGAACGAAGAAGTTTGGAATTGTATATAGCTATTTTCGTTACAAGCTCTGTCTTCACCAGATCCATCTTCTATCCACTTGTACATCAAGATAAAATAATAATACGAGCGAGAACAGATTTCTTTTTCGATAAATATCGCATTGCGTTCGCTCTCCCGACAATCGTGATCTTTTTTTTTATACGTATGTAGGACACGAGAACTTTTTAAATTTATTTTACTGCGAGAATAAACCTTTGAAGTGATGATGATATGATATCCCGAACACACCGAGGAAAACTTCCTGACAAAAGGTATCTATCGCTCGTTTTTTTTTCTCGAACGTAGGAATCGATCCGTCGTATTATATCGCAGCTAAACAGAATGTCTGTTTATCTGTTTACTCACAAACGTATAATAGAATATATCAACTGCGAAAACTTTCAATGAAAATAAAATCTGTGTGTGTGTTTTCAAAAATATATTTTCTATACCGCTGTATAAAATTCTGTCGATTCGATAAGAAACAGGAAAGATAAAGGCCAAGCATTTTTTACTGCAAAAACTCCATTGATCCTGTTCTTGTAAAAATTATTTTTCGAAAAAAAGGACCTTTATATTGCACTTCACTCTTATCGTGTGTGTCGCACGGTATTACTTCGCGATAAATATCCGCCTATGTTATCCTTGTTTCTCTTGTCACAAAAATCGGGAGCTAGGATATTAATACCGAATTATTTAATGAAACTTTATCGCGTTAGATTTTGTAGCCGAGAAAATCTACGGACTTCTTCTACCAGCGAAGCGCTTGCAATATCTGCAACAAAAGTAAGATTACGAAATAACAAATAACAATAAGTCATAGTTTCTTATCGTAAACCTGTAAAAATATAATATAAAACACACACGATAAAAAAACATATGTTTTTCAAAAGATCGATTTTCGAAAGAGATCGATTTTTTAATTACAAAAAAATGCGAGACAGTTCATTCGGTACATTTCTCTTTGGAGATTTCTATCTGCATATTTTTTTAAGCAATTCTTCAATAAGAGACTTAGGTCTACAAAAATTCCGAGCTCCCATGCGAGACATATTCACATTGTCACACTGCACGCTTCGCGCAGTGAAAAAGTTTTTCCGATTCGCAGGACGTACGTTCGTGACCTTTTCAACTGCAATTTATTTATGATGAAAGTTATCTCGTGCTCGATGCGACTCGCAAACAAAACTGATCGCTAAAAAAAACCGTAGTCTGATGATTACTTACGCATAACAGCTCGTGAAACAGCTCGCTCTCTCAAATTCGCAATTTGACCAACATTTAATTTGCTTAAGTGCGGAAACATTAAACATTTCAGCGTCGGAGATTTATCGCGCGAGAAACGTCGCGAAAGGTATTCGTGAAAAAATAAGTAAATTGAAAGTCACGCAGAAAGACGAAACAATTGAAATTGATCAAATCAAAAAATTAATTGAAGTTAAATGAAATAAAAAATTGAAGTTAAATTAAATAAAAAATTATTTGCTAAGTAAAACAATCTGCCTATCTTGCAGACCGCCTTGTAAATTCGTTAGAAATTTTTTCAACGACAAGCAAATCATTTGCGAAGGAAGCGCGATAAATTAATATCCCATTTGTGAAACTGTTTGTGCGAGAAGACTGTCTATATAAGAATACCAAATTGACATTAATGTAAACTCTCCACGCAGTCGTTATTAACGTAATGACAGTCCGCAGTGCGATAAGAAAAATTTGCTAACTATACGAAAATCAAACAAAGTTATGACAGCTAGAGTGTAATTTGTTATTTTTTGACGCAGGTGTATTAAGACATAAAAAATCTTTATTGATCTTTCTTTCGGAAAAAAAAGAAAAAATTAGGCCAACACCTAACAAGATCTCAAGGGACTCCGAGAGTTCGCAAAGAACTTTTTTTTCATCTTCGTTTCGCTTGTGTACTCTCTCCAATTGATAACAGCGAGAAAAAAAAAAGTATCGAAAGAGTGCGAAAAAAATGTATTTACGAAAGAATATTATATATTAAAGGTGACATATATATATATATATATATATATATATATATATATATATATCATCTATCTTATCGAAAATTATTATGTCTTTGTGATTTTGTTCTACGTTTTAAATTTCTTTGTCGCGCGTTACTTCGATTTTCTCACGTTCTCCGTATCAATACCGCTTCTTTTTCTACGTTGAAGAAGGTTGTAGAAAGCCAGTAAGACGCTTCGTTTTATCCACCTTCCAAAATCAATATTGATGTGAAAACGAGAGAAGTGCTCGGTTTCTGATGTCAATATTTGGCTTCTCGCGAGAACACTTTCATGGCAAATTTATGTATTCTTCTCGTCAGGATTTGTCGTCCAGCGAGATTATTATGTTGTAAAGTGCAGGAGGTCGATTCTGTATCCATGCAATGTAGTGAAAATTACAAAAGTGAGCAAATTTACTAGTTGTTGACCAATAAGATCATAGATATTTTAGTAAATTTGCTCACTTTTGTAATTTTTACTACACTGCGTGATACAGAATCGACCCCCAGAACACAGATCAAACGCTATGGTTCATAAAATCAAATATCAAAAAACGAGTAGAAAGACGCTCAGGTTCTGATTAATTATTACGCGCGATCGTTGAAATATCCGTGTCGGAATGTTGCTATAGTATATAATTGTAAATACGTTTGAATATATACATATAACTTAATATTCAGAAATTACAAAAATTACAAAATTTTTTACGAATTTTCCTAAAAATTCACGTGAATGTCATATAATATACCTATACTGTAACACACAAAACTAACCAGAAGTAATCGAGCCATTTTTTATCGATTCTGACGTTTGCTTATTGAAAATCTCGAAAAAGCGCATCAAAGAGTAAAATAACGCTTTTAAATCACAAATAGCATTGACAGTAAAAAACTTACTGTTTGTGCATCTTCGATAACGCGGTGTATGTCTCGACTATTATTTATCTCCCATAAAATAACGCAACGCTTATTTACGTAGAGACAGTATTCAACACACACATACACACACACACACATATCGTATGATAATATATTTTCCGGCAATATCTTACGGCGACTTACCGTAGGATTCAGTAGTCGTCTATCGCAAGTTTATATGCTCGCCTATTTCGAGCCACGTAAATACCTGAGTCCATGAAGCTTTAGCTGCCACGAGGGAGAAGCGCGTAAACGTGAAGCACACCGGGTCGAGTAATTTAACAGCAATGTTAATTCGCACTGTCACTGTATATATTGACGTTACAAAGAATCCAGAGCAAACTTACCTGCTGCTGTTGTTGACGGAAGTGTTGCTTCTACTGCGTCTGGACATGATGGAATCGCCGCGATTTACGACGCCTTTGTGGGTGATGCTGAACGCACGGAGTCTATACAAATCATCGCTGGCGCGCGGATTGTACGCCTTTTCTGGCAAACTGTGCACACGAGGTCGTATGTGGTCCGGTACTGTAACACAATACGAAAGATTTGCACAAATGTAGTTTGTAATTAAATTTTCTTAGAATCGTATAAAAAACAAAACTACGGTTAAATTTATTTACACCGAAAAAATTGTATTCTTGTTTTGAGGAGAGATATCCCACTTACTTTAAGTATATTTTATACTAAAATAGGCGCCAAAAGAAGAGTTTCTTATTTTAATAGGAAAATTCTCTAAATAGTAATATTGATAAGAATATATACTGATTAGAATATAAAAAGCCTCTATAGAAAAATATATATATCTCACTATCAAAAAAGACTATATTCTTAAATTAAGAATATATCCTTAAAAATAAAGAATATATTCTTAATTTCAGAAGAATATCATCTAAAATCTTTAAGAAGATTTTTTGAGTATAAAATCTTCTACTTATAAGAATATAATTTTTTCGGTGTAGGAGAATTACACAGCTATATATAATATTATTGTATTTGCGCGGTAATTACATCTCACACAATCTCTCTTTTGTTTTTCAGAATATAAAACAGATAAAAAAGATCTCTCTAACTCGCACGATTGGTGACGATGTATTTAGAAACGATTTTATACTCTAAAGCGGTTTGTTGCACACGCATGACAAACACATTACGGCTTCCGGTAGAATTACAATCAGCGCTGATTGACCCGTGAATCGATACACGTTGAAAGCTAATCCGAGTTGCGTGCGGCACGTTGCAGATGTAACCCCCCCGCTGTGTGTTGTAAAATCCGCCACTTAGCGCGAATGTACCCTTCCGTTTTGCACCAACGAGCTTGTCGGTGGCAATGCAATGTAATCACTTAGCCACGCAGGATCGTTTCGCGCTTGCTTCCACTTGTGTGCGGCAACGGGAACGGAGAGGGATGAGCGCCAACTTTTGTACAATATTATTACACCGCTAACGCAGCTAGATAAATGGCAGCAATCGATGCTGCTAGCGCCAATATCGTACGATTAAATATTCAATTCCATTATCGAGCGACATCGATTCAATGTTGAACACCAAGGCGTACCACGATAATTTCAATATATATGCCCAAGTACTATCGGTAATATACAATTGCAATAATTATTAGTCAAACACGAGAGGAAAGTTATTAGTCATTAACTTATCGCTTCGAACGGTTCAAATGTCCTCCGTAAGAAAAATACGTGTTTCACACGTGTCTCGAATGCGAAAATGCAATAACATGCAAGAGCGAGAACAAATGGCGGCGCGAACGTAAGAAACCAAAGAAGAAAGAACATATAAATGAGATGCTGTTTTCTCGAGTCTATTTTTTTAAGCACTTATTTAACGAAGATAAAAATATATACGCGTTGCCGTAGATAACGTGGACAAATGCTCGTCATAATGCTTTGTCACCAAAAAGTATCGATAAATTTAGACGATTAGGCGCGGTAAGAAACATTGCCACGGGGCTTCTTATTGCCAAAAAGTAGATAGATGTAAATCGCGCGAATAATGTTGCAACAAATGCACTATAAAATTCTACAACGTCATTAATTATTTATCGGCTCAGATGAAAATCTCGGTGACAATCTCGTATCGAAAACATATTTTTGCGAGTTGTGTGTTGATCAACACGTTTTTCAAACAAACGTTACATGCGTTATTATCGCAAAACGCATAATTATCCATATTATAGTTTTTAGACGGGACAAATATGAAAATTTTCTCAGAGCACAGATCAGCAATTAATTCACATATTAAATTGTACGGGATAATTAATTATATGTTTGTACGTGCTGTAAAATGTAAAATTAAATTGCGACAACACACACGCATTACAGATGCACAATTAATTATCCACGTGTATGTCTAATCAAATATAAATCTATATAGTTGTATATACAATTTATAATAAACAAGATATTGATAATTAATAAGGTATAAAACGTTATTAAATGTTACACAAGCAAAAATATATTTTTGTATATATTATATTACTCTGAATATAATACAGAAATATTTTAAATTGTTGTGTTTTCTTTGTAAATATGACGTTTTAAATAAATCTCTTGGCAAATTCTTCGCGAATTTTAAACTTTGGTGAAAATAAAGTTGGAAGTTGCTCAATATTGCACAAAGGCTAAGACATCTCTGTCGAGAAAATTTGATTCATGCAAAGATCCCTGTAATTTTATTAAAAAAAAAAAAAAAAACAATTTACAAGTCGCAGTTACACATGATGCACGTATTTTTCGAAATAACGCATTAGGCTTTTTACGCAAAGTTCAATCTTTCGATTTGAAGATTATACATATTTTGAAAAACCTAATTGTTCAAACAAAAACTAATTGAGACGCATTTCTTAGGGTCATTCTACAATGAAAGTTGAAAATGTCCCATTGCCAGTTGCGAAAGGTAGCAATTACGAAAAGTAAAGTATTATTTCTGGTTGCGGTTGCTAAAAGAGAGTTGGTCAACTTTTAACTTTCGTCAACAGCAACTGGCAACCGCAGCGCGTAAAATAATACTTTTTCCCTAGTAGTTTCAACTGGCGACGGAACATTTTCAACTCATTGTAAAATGGCCCTTAGACGAGATATCTTATCCTTTTGAAAGGATAAGCTATGAGTGGGATAATTGCTCACACGAAGAAGAATCGATTGGTCGACTCGACTTTCGCAAGTGTAATTAATTCGCCGCACTTACGACCGAAAATGAGCTCGTTTCCGATCTCAGCTATCCAAATGAATGACATTTGCAAACCAAACCACTTGACCTGACGCGAACACGACGTCTCTTGTTAGCGGTTTCTTCAACGAAATAATATTCAAGGGATATATTATTCCGATTACCGCAAGAGTGTGTTAATTACCTATTTCTTACATTACACGGTCTTATTCATGTTCTTCTCACGCAATTTACAAAAGCGTGATAAAAAAATAATGTTAATAAAATCGCCAATGAATTTGATTTTTGCTTAAAGAAAAGTGAAATTGCAGAATTTAAATCTACAGAAAGATAATATGCTTTTACTGCGAAGATTTTGTTCGACTTCCTCAAATTTACTGCGCACTATTGGCATCACCTCAAAATACATAATATTTCTTAGTATTTTCGTTAAGAAATTGCGAACGTATATCTAAAATTTTTGGTAACTCATCGCACACACTTCTGTCTATTTTCTCATTTACATTGTGCCAATTCAATTATGACAAAATATTCAAGCAAACCAATTCGTTAAAATATGTTTCTCGGACCTACTATATTTTTTTATTCTAATATCTTACACGTTTAGTGCTCAAAATTATGCGTAAACTAATTTGGAAGAAATTTAACGCATTGTTCTTGCTAAAGATATTCGGTAAGAGTATTTCGGTTCGTCTACCGTGCCGTACAAGTTTCTAATAATACCCGCACTCATGAAATTCTAATGTGCGGAATGTTTGCGCTTTTTGCCACCTGTTCGATATAAATGTCAGAGAGAAATAAAATATTAATAACATTCAACAACCAAACACATACAAAACGTAAATACATTAAGTATTACTTATGACAATTGATATGATGTATAAACAATTTTCGTAATATTTTATACGCATCGAGAAAAAAATTCATTTTCAAAATTAAAAAGCAATGTTTAAAAAATCATCTTTTCTCTGACATAAAAATTAAATTCTCTTTGAAATTGCTCATCTCTCTCTTTCCCTATATATTATTTATAGACAAAATTGCGCACGTGCATTTTCTGTATTTATACTTTACACGTGTATAAACACTTTGTGTAATTTTAATAATCGACAAAATCTGCTTTTGTTTTAAGAAATTTCACTGTAACATCAATTTCGTGTTTACACGAGATAATTGCATCGCGACATTGTTTTCATAGATATCTTTTGTAAACGCCGCTAACAACTTTGGCAAAATCGCCGTGTCCCACCTCTGCAATGTATGCCGGAATCTTTAATGTAGTTAACAGTCGACGAGATACTCGAGAAGTTTCGAGTCTCTCGCTAGCGTATCTAATTAGAACAACACAACAACAACATCGTTAGAAGTTGGCTCGCTCGCAATTATAATATGACTTTTTGCCATCTCCAATGAACTGTTGCATATATGATCTATACAACGATAAGAAGTTCGCTCGTCGTTATGTGCGTTTAAATATATGTAAGTTAATCGCATAATCAGTAAACTTAATTAGACATCACGTTTCATATTAATACGCTCTTTTTGTTCTCGAGTTTGAAAGGATGAGCAGAGTATTAAATTCAGAGATGTGAATAAAGGTAAAATCAGTAATAAAATGTGAATAAAATCTGAAACTTGAAAAATCCAACTTTTTTACATATTATACATTTCCGCAACAATAAATTCTCGTAATCCTTTAAAAGTTTCCGATTATTCAGTGCAATGATATTGTCAATATCTCTCATTTTGTCACATTTTTCCGCGCGTATATCTTATGCATACGTTATATCCGAGCGATATAAAAACTGGGTCGATAAAGAAATTGGTTTTCTTACGCGCATGAAAAATTTAATAGGTCAGAATACACACCTACGCTATACACCTACCTAACCTACGTTGCCAAAATGTTATTTGGTTTCTAACCTGAAGAAAGGTCTATAGAGATATTCTTGAATAAATAAGAAAAAGGTTTCCACAGAAGCGAGGAATTAAGCGATAGAGAGAAAAGAAAAAATCTTTGCCGAAGAGGTTTTCCTGCGAGAAAAAACAACAAATCCTCTTTAGGAATTTCATTTCATTGTGACGTTCCTTTTTTTCTCGTTGTTATAAGAATTTCACGCGGAACAACAAACTTCTTTGTTGCCAAAAAAATGTCCTTGATTTCTGAAACTTTCAAAAGCCGAACATTAAGCTATTAAATATTAAAACCCCAACTCTGGACGTATGTTTTCTCAAATATTCTATTTTCAAGATCTCTCACACACACACACACACACACACACACACACACACACACACACACACATATGTGATTTGTCCTTGAACCCTTGAACTCTCACGTCATCAAGATTTTACCTTCTGTGCGAGAAAAATTTAATTCTTAGCATATTTTTTATTATTGACAATTAATTAAATTAAGTTAATTTTGTTTGATATTTGCAACGGAATTCTCAATATAAAAAAAATTTTTATATAAAATCTTGAAAGTGTTTTTCTTATCGAGTAAAAGATTCGTGTCACGTGAACGAATAAAGTTCTAAATAGATGCAAAACACGTATCGTTAACCATTAATCTAGTTTCCGAATCCGGATATTTCATTTTGCAATACTTTTGCGGTACAACGGGGAGAATCAAGCTGTTTGGACAAAATATTTGTCAAACGTAGACGACAAAGTAATTAATTTTCGATATAGATAAGTTCGATAAGCTACGCAAGCGAATCTGACAGTTTGACGCAGTTTCGGAGTTACAGAATTCACTTGAGAATGACGTAAACTGGTCGAACAGGATTGTCGTGAGCTCAAATAAACCGGCTGTTACTTTGAAGGATAAAACTTGGTAAATTAAATTCTTCGTCATTTCGGTAAGCTTTAAATCAGACACGCCGAGTCTTTCAACTAACAAGCTCGCTAATATCTTCTGTATTAGCCGAACACATTTAAATATTGATTTGTCGGTCACGTAAATTCAAAATGATTACGTCGCGACGATTAATGAGTGCTTAAGTATGTTCAAAAATGAAGTAAAAAAATTCACTTTAATACATTCCAACTGTTCGCCCGAAAGACGTCGCAATTTTCGCGTAGAGACGACAAGACCGAGCGAAATTAATTTTGTATCTCTGGCTCACGTTGTATTAAACTCAATATATTACTGCGTTAAACTTCAAGTGCGGTAGGCGATTAATTAAAGCTCTGCGGACGGAGCAAGTGCAACGGAAAGTGTAACTTTTGCGTCCGTTGAAAATGAAGAACTTGAAACTTTCGTTCTGATTACGTGGGCAGTGTCGACCTCCGCTTCCGGAATACTATGAATGCGCAACGCGCGTCGCGCCGTTTTTGTCGGTCTTCTTATCCGCGAAAGAATCCGAGAGCATCTCCGTGTGTATGTAAATTCTTTCTCATAAAATATACAGCGACGAGACAAAATAGGCCATCTTTGAAGACTAATTCCACACGGCGGTTACGAGACATTCTTAATCCCTTTGTGTGTCAACTCGTTATGTCGTATGTGCGCATTCTAACGCTTCGGGTGTCGACACTCCCTCACTTTTAAGTCTTGAACATAAAATTTCGCTAGAACTTAAATATACACACATACATGTACAATTCATGACGCAAGTTAACAAGTACCGTATTTCAGTATTTTCGTTTTCGCTAAACGGAAAAAGGATTACACGAAGACAACGATCAAATCGTTAAATAGACTGCCCTACATGCGCGTAGTACAAAAGTGTGAAATGATAATAAAAAAAAAACCAACGTGTCAGCGTGAAAACGAGTATAAATACCAAATTCTTCGTCACGTCGCGCTACTACGATCAGAATGCAAAATGATACAGAAGAATAGGGGTAGTATATACATATCACACACAAGAATATATATATATATATATATACTTTTTTTCTGTCTCTCTTAAACCCGCATAATGCGAATTTAAAATAAACAAAAATGGAAAACACAAATTTCAAACGCGCAAATGCATTAGTATTCGAAATAACAATTAATGTCAGCAGCGCGCCATAAAAGTAAAACGTTAAATAAAATTTATTTTCTAAACAGTTTTAATAAATCTGTGACGTAACAAATTTTTATCTTTTTTAATTATAACAAAAAAAACTAAAAATATGACATCTCTGAAAGATTGACTAAAATTTCATCAATGATATATCAATTGGAAAATGTGTAGCAAGGTTTGCCAACATGACATTTCTGAAAGATTAACTAAAATTTTATCAATGGTATATGAATTGGAAAATGTGAAGCAAGGTTTGCTAACAAAGCTATTTTTAGTTTGCTAACAAAAAGCCGAGAAATTATTATTCAAGTATTCATTAACGTAACAACTTAACTTGTTCGGTTAAGAATAAGTGACTATGATTTCGTTGGTTATATTACAAACACGTCGAGCTATTTATACGTAATTATTCGTAAACACGCCAACAATAATGTTGCTTACCGATACGACAAACAAATACGTATAGCCATGATTGATGCTACAGATTACGCTACATTTCAAACACAAGAGCCATTGTCTCGCTCTCATATTGAACGAAATTAATTTATCCGTTTCAAATATAAAGGATGAAGTGGTCAGAGATCGCACGCACCAAAATTCATCCTACACATTAATCGAAAAATGTTGTATAATAATTAATTTTTCTTTATTCGATTTAACATCTGGAAAAGAAAATTAAATATCAAAACTTTGCAGTTGGCTGAGTTTTTTTACATCGAATGGTAATTTCTTTCGCATCGTCGAGTTTGTATTTACAATCAAAATGTTTGTATGAGTGTGTATATATATACGTCAATATTTTTAATATTTTTAATTTCGGAACGCGCGTTTTCCGTACAACTCATTGACGCGCAAGATTTCATTATTTTTTTTTTTTTTTTTTTAACGTTAACTTTCGTTTGCAAAGACAATCGATAAAACACGTCACGTAGGACACGTTTATCTCATTGTCGCCGATCTTGCCCGCGGTGTGAACTGTGCATTCAAAAACTTTCAACCAGGCCAAACGAAACTATTGACGTCAGTGTTTTCGACAAGGTTTTCGAATACATGATAAAAGTGTACCAGATAAAACAGTGTTCCGAAACGTAATACCGCAACTGTTTGTAAAAAACTACGTTCTATAGTCTGATGTGATTGTTTAGATTTAAACTACGTACGATTAAAGTAAACGTCAAATTTCGAGCGAATTTTATACGTTGCATGTGTTTGATAATTCATTTCTATATAGTCGCTATTTATACATTTAAAATACGACGGTTACGTCAAATGTTTTAATTTTCAAAACCGCGAGATTCCCTCGCGAAAATTTTGCTCTCCGAGAATAAATACGATAATAATTGTATAGGCGATATTTACCAGGCAGCTCGAGGAAATTCGACGTTCTGCGTTGCCGGCCGCGTATGTACGCGCCGGAGTTTAAAGGACCCACGCTCTCGTTGGTAACGTTGGACTTGTTGGAGTACTGGCTGTCGCGGGAGTTGCGTCTTGATGCCAGATAAGCTGCAACACACGGGAGTGTTTCGTGAAAATACCAGGAAATGCGCAGTGCGCAACGTTCAAGAGAGAGATCGCACGTCAAAGGGTTGAAACCGCACCACTATACGATCCGCATGCACAGAGAGAGAGTACGCGCACGAACGTATCGTGTGTTCATCGTTAGCTGAGAGCGAGAGACGTTTGAGAAAACACTCGCATAGCCAACGGCTGCTTGTTGCATTATGCACGTTATGAACTTTCACGATTCGCGTCTCGCAAAATTTCCAGTTAGCTTATACACGAGCGTTTATTACGATATCTGACATAAACAGAGCGTTTGAACATTAATATTTCGGAACTGTATATTCCATCTCCGTATGTACTACGTATGTATACAGCGCGTCAAAAATTCGCGAAGTATAGACGCGGAGATCTAGGGACAAAAAAGGCGGTTTTTCTTACACCGAAAAAATTATATTCTCGTAAATAGAAGATTTTATACTTAAAAAATCTTCTTAAAGATCTTAGATGATATTCTTCTGAAATTAAGAATATATTCTTAATTTAAGAATATAGTCTTTTTCGATAGTGAGATATATATGTTTTTCTATAGAGGCTTTTTATATTCTAATCAGTATATATTCTTATCAATATTACTATTTAGAGAATTTTCCTCTTAAAATAAGAAACTCTTCTTGGCGCCTATTTTAGTATAAAATATACTTAAAGTAAGTGGGATATCTCCTCAAAATAAGAATACAATTTTTTCGGTGCAGATATGCACCGTTACCTTCCATATGTTATTGATTGGACCGATATAAATACAGCAAGAATACACCGAAAAAATTATATTCTTGTAAGTAGAAGATTTTNTACTTAAAAAATCTTCTTAAAGATCTTAGATGATATTCTTCTGAAATTAAGAATATATTCTTAATTTAAGAATATAGTCTTTTTCGATAGTGAGATATATATGTTTTTCTATAGAGGCTTTTTATATTCTAATCAGTATATATATTCTTATCAATATTATTATTTAGAGAATTTTCCTCTTAAAATAAGAAACTCTTCTTGGCGCCTATTTTAGTATAAAATATACTTAAAGTAAGTGGGATATCCTCAAAACAAGAATACAATTTTTTCGGTGTAGGGATAAATAACGCGCGCGACACAGTTGTGGATAAACGATTGCTACTAGTTAGAGCTGGTACAGTGCTTGTTGGTGCTATTTATTCCTAAGAGAAGCCGCTTCTTTTGCTTCTAGTCGACTCTCGCGTCTACTCCGCGAATTTTTGACGCTGTGTACGCGAGTCTTCGTCGGATTGATCATTACGATATCGGAAGATAAAATAAGTATTGTTTCAAAAGATTTTGCTCTGACGAAATATTTCATCGAAAACCCGATCAAGTCTGTTCTAAATCTAATGTTCTTCACGTACGATAAGCGCAAGTGATGTAGGTACCAAAATAAAACTGATAAATACTGTAATTAGGAGAAAAATAAAGTTTTTGAACGATATGTATAAGTTGTATTTGTTACTTTTCGCATATTCCGCGCGATCATATTCCCACTATCCTCCTAATGAAGGTCGAACGGCCGATGATGAGAGAAGATCGAGGAGGAGGATTAAGTCTCAAGAGTATAACCCAGTTCTTTCACCTCGCTTCGTTCGAAGGGAAGACTCAGAAGTGAGAGATAAAAAAAAAAAAAAAAATGAAACAGGTCGCGGTAAAAGAATCTTTAGCAAAACGGTGCGATAAAAAGTAAAAGAAAATTCAGAAGTAATTAAGAGAAGATTCGAAAGCGGAGAAGAGAGCACAATATTGAACTTGAACCAGCTGATATGGAAGAGAGGATGGATCTAACTTTATTTGTCGTCTTCATGCGATGACGTTCCGATCACGCCACTAGTTCGTGTCGGAAAGCAATTATCTGATCTATGTTTGGTATGTGTGTGAGCGCGCGTGTGTGTGTGTGTGAATCCACGAGCGTGCTTAAAGCACGAATCACGGATAGCTAGCATTACGCTTGTGTTATTAATCCAAGTTATATAGATTTTCTCATCGTCAACGCGCGCGAGAGTTCTCTCGGTCAGATTAAAAGAGCAAATGATTCGTGAGCCGCGCGAATTTTGTCGCTCCGGAATCTGAAACGCCGTTTTCACTTTGGTATAGGTCAATTATCGATAGCGCGTTTACACGTGCCGAGGTTATTCGCGTGCCACACGGCGACGACGATGTAATTCTCTCTGTTTCTATACAAATCGATCCGCGTCCCGCAGATGTAACGCAGAATCCTATATAACCGCGATGTTTCGCTCGGCCCCTTTTCCACAAGTCCCTAACGACCGCGCGTATACATCAGAACAAATATCAGAATGCCGCGTGTGTGATTCGCGCGCGTATGGAAATATTGAAAACTTGCGAAAAATATAAACTTGCAAAAAATCAAAACGATATTTTTTAATTACAAAAGTAAGAAAAAAAGAGGGAATGTAAGTTAATTACCGCAAGAATAAAAAAAAAAAAAACTTGATTGAATTTTTTTTTCGCCTAAATTTAATATACATCCACGCGCACGCACGTAAAATTACGGTACAATACTTTCAATCGAGCCAACCCTCGTCAGACCAGAGAGGGAAAGATCTCTAAGAACATCGTCGTTTATTGCCCGATTGCGTCGCTGTGGGACTTGAATTTCAGACGCTGAGAAAGATTCTAAGGACGGAGAGAGATTACGCTATAGAGAAGAAAAAAAGTTGAACGCGACAAAAAAAAAAAAAGGAACTCACCGAGGCCGCCTTTCATGGATCCTCTTCGTCTGGAACCGGATAGCCAAGTGATCTCGGTATCGGCATCGCCCATATCCGTCAAATCGCTGGTCGATCGTCGGGATATGTTTTTCTCACCCTTTCCGTGTTTCGAACATTCGTTCGATCCCCCTGGAGGATCCTGGCCAGCCTCGTTCAGACAACCCTGACTCTTGGCAAAGTGCCCGCCCATCTTGATGCCTCTCGACCTTTCGCTATTTCCCTCGATGGCTTTTTCCTGCACACCGGAAGAAGTACTCTCCAGAGAAGGCGTCTTGCTCTTATATCCTCTGCTCTCTCTGCCGGTATTCGCGATATCATTTTCCAGCTCCGAGTTCCGATCCAGTTGCGGGCTGGTAGCGTCGTGCGACGACGTCGAGGTTACTATAGTCGGCGACATAGGATTTTCGAAAGTCAGACGATAGAAGGAATCCCTTTGCCGATCGAACGGCTTATTCGCGTTCCTCTGACCAACGTAACCGGAAGGCGAGTTGGTCGATCTGTTGCGATCGTTTATGGATGATGACGAGGTCGCGGGATAGCTCGCGGCCTGCTTCAGATTCTTCTTGCGCGGATCGCAAAATTTGAAGATCGGCGATTTGTGACCGGGCGAGTGCAAGATCTCGCTGTTGGGAGTCACGGAAGTTATGGGAGTCATAGGGGAACGCGGCGACGGGCCCGCTCCCCCACGCGAGTAATAACTGGGACTCTTGGGTCCGCGATGCTGCTCGTGCTCGCCGGCGCGTCCAAATTCGTCGTAGTCGAAATTGGTATTGAACGTTTCCAGGGAGTACTCGGGCGGAAACTCGAAAACTAGCGGAGTGCCGGGCGATTTGTTTAGCGACTGTTCGCGGTGAATCGAATTGCGCGACTCGGCGATCGGTGCCGGTTGTTGTTGCTGCTGCTGCTGCTGCTGTTGGGAACGAGGTAGCGGCGGTAAATGCCGCGGACTCCTCGGGGACTTGACACGGATCGATTGTCCAGGACTGCTGGTCGCCATCTCTGATGATGAGCGGGATTGTGTTTCCAACGGATTTACCTTCGTTTCGGATCGTGTTATCTTTGACAATTCAACGTCCGTGGTTTATTGGTTCGCCAGCGCCTCCGTCATTGTCGAGTTATATAAACGATCGGTATCGTCGGCTTTGTCGTAGCGTCCATAAATCGTCTTGCAACCGGCTGCGACGGTCATCCCTCGCATTTCAACGGATCTCTCTTGTCGATTTCGATTTTGGGTTGATGAGAATCTACGAGATCGCCAAAAGTACGTGTGCGGGAGTGCGCTTGACTCAAATGCTTATCGCACAAAGATCTTCTCGACTATCAAACGCGAAAAAAAAGAATTATATTAAAACCTTTTAGTTAAGAAATATATAAATATAGTTCGTACAATTATTTTGTCAACACTACTTATTGAATATATTTGTGAAATAATAAATGTTGCTGTATATATTTCTATGTGTGATTTCTCCGCAATTATTTACACCTTTGTTAACCTTATGATATATTTTAAATTAAAAAAAAAACACACAGATCAAAATATCCATCAAATTAACAAGCAAACAGTAAGTACAATTAACATATCATCGAATTAATTGAACGGAAGAATCAATTTTGGAAAATTTTATGTTCAAACGATTCAAATTAATTAATGTACAGTGGGATACGATGCAACATCGAAATATATAGCATGACCGCAACTGCAGAGTTGAAACGCGCCTGTGTCAAGTTCACGATTGAATGTTTCCCAAACAAACGCATATATATCGATTTAAAGAAAAAAAACACTTTGAATTGTTATCTCATTAGTATGGGGATATTATGTTCGGAATAAACTTCTCGAGTACAATACGTGATAGAATAATAAGCTCATATGTTTGTGAGATCGTCTCTTGAAAATAATATTGAGTTGAAGAAAAAAATGCAAAATTTTCCGAACAAAAGTTTTCATTTATTCTATCAAATTGTTGCCTAGTTGACTTTTTTAGTTAAAAAAACAATTTTACTGTTCCATATATTTAACAAAAACTTTTTAAATAAAAAAGCTATTGTTTCTGCGAGTTATTTTACAGGCATCTCGCGAAAAGCGTTCGTTAGAAAGAACGAAAGATAATCATATGATTTATTATTTGTACTTGAGTCGAGTAATAAGCGATTATTGTGTACGCGTGCAAACGACATCATATTGTGAGTAACGGTGATATAACGACATACACAACATTAGTGGCCCCAAAGCGAGTTATACTAGCCAACTAGAGATTAACCTGTTGATCGTCGTCGCGAAGAATGTCGTCACGTTGTCTACGTCAAAGTAGCTTGAATGTAATAGCTAACGCGACGCCTCGTGTTCTGGTGTTGATCAAGAACCTTTAAGTTTGTACGAGACGACGCACTTTAATAAATCCCAGCCGAATTTTGTGTTGCGAAAAGAAATCACGAAACATTGACACCCCGAGGTGCCACCTCGACGATGGTCGGCACGCCACTGAGGGTTGTAGAAGCTACCCTCGCGCTACCTTCTCGAACCCACCCCCCTTCCATATCGTTCCCATAGCGCCAGGCCTCGGGCTATGTTTTGCTTTTTTCCGCACGTGTTCTTTCAACCACATTCGCATCTCCGATGGTTTTTAATATTAACGACATTCATTAAATCGTAGAAAACATTTACGTATATTATATTCTTAGAACAATGACAAATTACAGTTATTACATACGAAATACATATCAAGTTTTTATGTGTTATGTAATTACACAACTATAATTAGTCCACCATTAGCCCGGATAAACAAAAATAAACTATTGAACTATATTAAGAAGGAGTTACATATAGATTCAATTAGTCGATCTATCTCTGTGTAGCCTCGGTCTCCTCTGCATTTCTATAAATATGTAGTTTATGATTAAATACAATGCGTATCAAGCTTAATAAATTTGTTTATTATTTTTAAATAATTTTTGTTTCAAAATCTACAAAAGGGTTTGTGTTCCGCGCCAACCATAAAGACATTTCGGATTTGTGATCTAACGAAACAATGTCCACCAAGGTAGACGTTTATAGGACCTTGCAGATACATATGAAAAATTTAATAATTGTCTCTAATGTTAATCCAAACTCGTTTATCGATTATACAGTTTTTTAGGTAGTTTCAAACAATTTTGTGCAGGATTAAAAATTTTATAATAATTTGATAAAAGATGGGAGAAATAAGAACAGCCATATTAAGTTTTACGCAGTATTTATTTTCAGAAAATATGTAGCGATGTGTATATATTTTTTCGTCCTACTTTGCACAGATTGCGAACTGTCATATACAGTAACATGTACTGTTTCCGGTGTGGTTAAAAAATATAGCACATGTATGTTTAACACTTCGACAATCAAACCTAATATTGCAAGTTTAAGACTCTGAGTATCTCGAAAAATGTTTTTATGTAAAATCCAGAAGAAATATCCAAATTTCTGTGAATTACATCTTCCTGTATTATCGGCGTCTGTAATGTTGTTTTGCTCATTTAACAAACTATGACGCCGAGAAAATATTATCATGAAATGTAGTTGAAAAGAAAACTCATTTATCGGCATCCCGCAAGCGGTGCTAGCATATCATGCCTTGACATGATANACACGCGTACGCGTCTTTTCACGATCTGATTATCCGAGTATAGTAAGTTTTGCGCACATTGTACGAATAGTGAACTTAACTACAACTGGTACAGAGGAGCGCACCATATTATTCNGCTCCAGAAGAAGTATCTCTCTGAAATTTCTCTCTTGGCTGCTCCTATTATCGCGCAACGTACTCCTTCGGTCTCCATCCAGCAGCCCGAGATTGAAGAAAAACGGCGCGCGGTAGTAGAAGCAGCCGGAGAAGAAATCTTCCCCCCTGAAGCGGAACAATATGATGCACTCCTCTGTACCAGTCGTATTTACTCAAAATTGCATTGTGTGTTATCACAAGTAGCGTAAACAAATCTTACTTAATCGATACTATTCACTTGGCTAAACCGTAACAGAATAATGACGTGTATGTAGTGACGTTGTATCTAGTTGTAGTATCTAGTGTATCACACATTAAGGGCCGGTTGTTCCACTTTCAAGTAAACTATCGAGTAATTTATCTAATGGTTAAAACTCCGATTTGCGTTGTTTCACGTGTCGGTGAAATTTATATATCTGGTAAATGATCAGAAACCAAAAAATAAATTAGACGACACTCTCGGTAAGTCGTGTAAGTCATATCTAACAGATAAATATATAGAAATAAAAAACAGTGGAAGATGCGCTAGCCAAGTTCTTCTCCTATAGATAATAATCTATCGAGTAAGCTGAGATTTATCAAAAGATGGAACAACCGGCCCTAAGTGTATTATGAGTTCCTTGAAATACGTCACTGTTTCAAAGAATAATATTTTTATCAAACAAACGTCACGCGAGTAACATTACGTACTACGTAAACATATCTCGTACTTTTAATATTAGAAACTAATTATATTTTCTACCGTTTATACTCAGCATTTATCTTGCGAGTTGTGGTTACCATTGAGAATTACGTCAAGAATTTATATTAAAATTGAATAAATATACTCTGTATTAAATTTATATTTCCAAAATTGTATTAAATTCTGTATCAAAAATCTTTAAAAAAAAAAAAACCGCAATTATGTACTATATTTTACAAGCACTTAAAAAACAACTACCAATTGCATATATTTTTTGGAAATTAACAAAAAAGTAATATTTCTTCTATCTTATGCTTTGCGAGAGTACATTATTATCTATTACAAGACCCTTTTAGATATAAACTTGTGTGAATGCGTGATTACACAATATTTTACTATTAACATATTTCCGTTTTATCTTGCTATAATTCATAATTGTAAACTTCGTTAAAACAAAAAATTAAGAACAAAGAAACTCCACCGCTATCGAAAAGCGTGTCTCACATCCTGATGACGTTTATACGGAGTATTGATATACGCATTACGTTTTGACGTAAGCGTCGGTCTGGCACCACGAGTAGTCAGGACATGCACTACCGACGGCAAAAGAAGATTGTTTGTGAAACGTACGTTCCGTTTATCGACTATATCTGCATCCCCCACCTCAAGTTGTGGCGATTGCTCGACTTCAATTCCACTCGATAGAAGCGAAATCCCGACGCACATTCCGAGATGCCGTCGTTGAAGAATTTTCGCATCGAGTTCGATCGGTCCAGAGCTACTTACGCGCCCGGCGAATTTATTACCGGCAGCGTCATCGTCGATTTGTCAAAAAAAAAAAATTTCGGAGGTAAAATAAACGTTGAGGCACGTTGTTGTTACGTATCAGGGCAACAATTTTGCAATCGAATGAGATATCGCGCCAATGGCGCCGCGTTTCTAAAACGTCAGACGCTAACAAGCGCGTTACGTGCCGCCACAATTGCGTAAAATTGTGCGTTAATGTGATATCAGTGCTGTGAAACAAAAGACCAGGCCCTCGAAGCAAGAAATGTGTTTGCCGTTTAAATCGCACGTGATGAAAACCAAATACCTAAATGAACACCGAGTGAAAATAAACGAAATCGGAGTAGTGTTTCAGAAGACTTCAATCTGAATAAAACAAAATGGTTTAATGAAAAATGATAAAGAGAGCAACGTAAATTCTTAAAAGAAGAAAAACTAATTTTACAAAAAAATAATATAAATGCCGCGCATTAGTTGTCTTTAGTAAAGATATATGAGACCTAATTAATTGATCTTCTAATCGCAATACAATCAATTCGAAGATTACTTGATTCTACGTACAAAAGAATTACATTGATGCACAAATTTTTACGTTAAGTACATATATAAACAATAGAATCTATATGATTTATATATCTGAATAATATATATTATTGATACTTTTCATTTCTGAAGAAACGATAAGATCATAGATAAAAAAATATATAATTAAATATATAAACCTGCGGCGTGTGTATTAGTTTGTTTTACTGATTGCTCTAGCGTGCGCTAGATAGAGTTCTGTCACTCACGAGGACAACACTGACAGATGCTTACAATTATGACGCCATTTGACAACGTAAAACTAATACTATATGTACAGACGGCGTCATTAATTCGAAGAAATGGCGCGGAGATCGGAGGGCAAGCGGGGCGGTTGCTCGTAGCGCCAACGGGCGCCGTACTAACTAACTAGTAGCAATCGGATGTCCACAACTACGACGTAGTATTTAGCCCGTTGGCGCTACGAGCAACCG